GGCATATCCGACACCGTTGATATTCTCCCCATAAAACGAATCATTTTACAGAGCTAAGGCTACTGAGATCGCGCTCCTTTACTGTTTGAGGAATGTAGACACAGCAACAACTAGCTGGCAAATCTGGCTCCACCTAGCCCTGTTGATAATATATTCGTAATCAGCCTACTCACTTACCCTCATGCGTCAACCAGGGCACGTAGACGGCTTACCAGGCAAGCTGAGGCTGCCGGCTTTTCGGCAGCATGCTCTCCCAGACAGACAAAGGGCTTGTTTACAGCGAAGTGAAGATGAAATGATACCAAAATAGGTGTGTAGATGGGCAGTGGAGAGTTAGGAATGAGTATGAAAAATTATGAAAAAATTATGAGAATTGAAGGCGCGCTCAAGTTTTTTCAAAGTTAGGTGGCTTTCAAGCCACCTGGAAACCACCTGAGGTGGCTCGAGAAAGAGAAAGTCATAAATTTTTTCTCCCTCACACAATTCATTTCCTTTCTTTACATAAACCTCATCTACATCCCAACCCCTACAAACTGGTTCCTAAGCCACCTCAATGTGAATTTAAAGGGGACTTCGTTTTTTGTAATCTCGGGAATCCACCTCATGCCGAGCCCTGGTGTCATCTCCCAGCCCCGTAGCTCGAGCTTTGCGAAAAACCGAAAAAATCGATATCGATCGATAACGAAAAGGTGCCTACGATACCCGCTCCGCCCCGAAGTGTATGTGTGCATAGTTTGTTCCTCGTCTTAGGAAAGAAATTTCTATTCGGAACACACGCACAGACATACATACATACATACATACATACAGACAGACATTCAGCTTTATTCATACACACACTTGCCTAAACTCAGAAAATGCTGGAAGGGGCGCGAAAAATTTATGGGATGAACTTTATGTCAAAGTCAAAGTACTGATCTAAGCGAGCATAAGTGGAGGAGGATGGCTCATTCAAGCTTTTGGCATATTTCCTGATTTTGGAATGGTGTGAAGGAGTGCCTTCTGCCAAATTCGAGCTATTCATAATAATCACTGTTGATGTTACAGTTTGCAAGACTGACTCTGTAAATGGTAATGTATGAGTACATATGATTTGGTAAGTGCTGAGAAGAAACTACAAAACTCCGGAGATGGAAAGGGAAGACCTAGTGTGGTAGGGAGAGTCATAGTAATAGTTTTGTGTAGAAAGCGTATTCCTTTCTTATTCCGTGATTCTTTTCATTGTGTAAGATAGTCCTGATAATTTGTGGTTAAAGCACAGGAAGGATTGTAGATCAACTTGGATTGTCGAATTAAACTGTCAAGGTTAAAGCATAAGGTAGTTTTGTAATCAGAGTGCATTTTCTCAGCTCTCTACTTACTCCAAAGTTCTTTTGAACTGCTGTATAAAGTAGGTGATCAAATCAACATTCTCAACAATTTGGCTAGATTTCGTTAGCAATTTGAAGTTGGTTTCGCGATTTCAGCAAACTTTCAGATGAACAAAGATTAACAGAATGCAAGTAGGATGTTGTTTTAGCAATGTTGGGAGATACAAGCTTTGCAGAAGACGCAAGAGATCTATGATCGGATTTCGACCACACGCACCCGAACAAGATCTCTAAGGCAAGGTTTTCTGTTTCTTTGCAGCAAGTCGTTCGAAATTCTAGCAAATTCCTCTATGTTGTCGTAGAAGAGTTGTTTTTTTCGTAATTTCTCCAATTTTGAGATATTAAAAGTTAACAGTAATCTTGAGAGCAGTATCGGTTCTCCTGTATGTTACATACTTCTTCTCTTACATCACGGAAAGTGCTGTTGGCCGAATCAAATTGGCTCCATTCTACTTGACACCGAGAGTTCGATCATAGACAACAAACTCTGTAAACCATCTTGCAGCTCAGTTCTCTTCGCTTATTTTCGCAGATCTGAGACTGTAATATTAGTTGGCTAGAAGCAGTTTCGTTTCATCATCAAGATATCCACAAAAACTTCCTTGTTGATTTTTATTCACGATTTTGAAGAAGAAGTAGTTTGAAGCTCGTGCTACCACATATCAACTGCTCAGAATCTATGGGTAAAAGATAGTTATGCCGTAATATACTAAACTTTTCGAAAGCTCAGTTCCTTGACTTTCTAACAAGGAAATGGTCAGAAGTCAAAGTGGCCAACCCAAACAAACTGCATACTATTCAATGCAGCATAAAACTTAGAACTGATTTTAAATCTGTCTTCCATTTCTGCAGAGCGCCTCTGTAGAGAGGTTATGAGCAGCTTTAATGCGAAAGAATCGTACACAAAAATTGCGAAATTGGGCACACTAACGGGCCATATGAAGTGACCCATTGCAAGCTTTGGTCCAACACAGCTGAGAATGGCTCTTACGGCCAAGTTTGCCCTTTACCCGCACGATTTCGTAGCAAAATAATGGCCATCAACGGCTTATCACTTCATTCACAAAAGTGTTCTGCAGATAAAGAAGACGGATTTAGAGTCAGCGTTTTATACTGCATCTAATGGTATGAAGATTGCTTGAATTGGCCACTATTTCTGACCATCCCCTTGTAAGCTTCATTTACATGCTATGATGCAAGTAAAGATGAGTAATTTGACATTTGGATACATATGAGTTTCCCCTGTTTAGCGAATAACAATAAAAACTGCGATTTGCCATCTTGAGATTCTTGGTCAAAAACGCATTTCTCAAATCAGATCTGGCTACCGTTTTCTTTCTAGGCCATTCCTGTGGAGAGTATACTGCGGTAAATGAACAGCTGATCAATTTCATTCTCATAATTACACCGTCCCAAGCAACACTAAGTAACATTTTGTTGTTCGGAAATCATGAACAGTAAACAAGAAAAAGGTAAAAAGAGGCATCGAAGAGTATTCAACCTACTTTCTTTGCTTGCACAAGAATTTTCTTAAAGGGATGTCCGCTTGGTCAAAGTGGCGATTCTAAAGATAAGGTGAAGTATACCAGCGAATAGAGCTTAAAAAGCTATCTCACAAGGGAATGATACTTAGTCGAAGTGGGGTTTCCAGATGAATATGGTATCTTATAAAGCATGGAACGCTGGTTCCAAATTTGCCTCTAGTATCTGCAAAGCGCTTTTGGGAGGGAAGTTATGGGAATTGAAGCGGAAAATTGAACGAGTGGCTATAATCAAATCATACAGAACTGAACTCTGAGAGTTCAAGTGGGGTCATAGTTCTGCCAGGCGCTTCAGGCAATTGATACCTTCAGCCTAATACAAGAACTAGTCTTACTCCTTCCAAGCGCCGGAAAGCCCTCAACACCTGTTTTACCTCAGCCAAGTCCTTAAATTTTTTGAATCAAGAAATCCCCATGAGTCCCCTCCCAGAAGCGCTTTGCAGATAACGAAAACAAATTCGGAACCAGCGTTTCTATAAGATAGCTTACAGTTCACATGAAAACTCCACTTCGACCAAGTATCCTTCCCTTGTCAGACGTACCTTCTGTATCTGCGCGTAATTGTGAAAAAAGCTATGAGCTTTCCATACGCCAAATTCTCGTGCATTTTGAGTCCCAAAATCACGTAATTCCCACTTGAAAGTTTGCGGGCTTGAGCAAACCATCTAGTGAACATTGTAGGACTGATCTGATATAATCTTAACATTTATGATGTTGTTCAGCGATGTTGCAATCCAAAGTCGTCATTTGCTTTCTAGGTCACATTTTCACTATAATTACAACAAAAAGGGCACACATTCCTTTAGAACATGCAGATATAAAAGGTACGTTCGAGATCAGCGTTTCGAGCTGGTATATCGAATAAAAAAAGTAAAACCTTATCCGCTGGTTGCATTACCTTTCAATTCGCCACTTCGACCAAGCGAACTACCTTGTTAGAAAAACCACATTTGTTGAAACGTCGAATTACAGCTCTTACTGTTGAGAAATAAACAGTCAAAGGATACGGGAAGCCGATTGCAAAAAACTGAAGCGCCTGAACCAGAAAAGGGCTATTCCGCAGTGTTCGCATTCACGAGCGAATGAACACATTAGCGTTCGCTCTACCTGACCATACAAAGTGAATCGACTGACAAAAAGAAGATTGTGCAACAAACCTGGGAGTTTATTGCATCGATAATTTCAGCGTACATTTTCTCAAAAGGGAAGTTGTATAAGCTTTTGGAAATGTCAAGTTGTAGTAAAAATGAGTACAAAGATTACCCATCGACGTACCAACCAGGACTGCCGCTACAAACATCGTTACAGATTTGCGAAAGCACTAAAAGCACCAGTTCTTACACTTCTTATTTTTTAAATTTCCAACAGCTCGTCAGCAGAAGGGACTAAGACCTTATAGTTCATCTGAAGAGCTGGAATTATGCGAAGAGATGCACATTTTCGCCTTCCTTTCCTCCACCTGTATTTTAACGATGTTGATTTCTAGCTTGTTTATCTTCCAGATGTTCACTGCATTATTTCTGCTTATCGAACTAATATTACTCGTGACAGTAATGATGGCGGAAATACCAACGTCAAACATTACATATGCGCTTTATTACCTCACCTGTGACATTTTCGGCAACAAAAAATTTTTAAGTCAGTTAGTGACAGAAAATAGCCTTATAAAAAAACAATTCCCACCTTCTGATAACTTTTCAAATATGGGTAATTACGCTTTTCTCGCTTCTATAATTGCTTTTGTTATAGAGCATATCAAACGTCAATTGAATATATGTGTCAAAAGTTTCCATAGAATCGGTTTTCTTTACTGAATCAAAAAAAAAAATAAACTCACGAATGCTCTGAATCAATCATACACTTCCTCATTACGGCAGAAAAGGAATAATGCTTTTGTTTTGCTAGACAACCTTTCTAGGACATGTGTAGAGCACTTTGTCTCAGAAAACTTTAAAAGGGATTCAACTAGAATATCAGAAATTGCCCCAATACTGTTTGAGTTACATGCGCCTTGGAAAACTCAAACTTGAGGCATTGTTTTGAGAGAATTTTTCACTTGCTCCCAATCTGTTAATTCTAAAAACTTGCACTCGTGCAGACTGTCTTTTTAAACAAATAGCAGAGGTTTTAATTCTTGAGCAAACTAGTGCTTACACAATAATCACAGGTGCATATCAGATACATAGGTAGTTAAAGGAGCGACAATATCAAACATAACAACTTGGGCCTAATCATACACTTAAACGGTATACAACATAATATTCAATAGCTCACAATATAAGATGAGCGTTTGGATATTCCGGGAGTTTCTTCCACTACGGGAACGAAATAAGTTGCTGGGGCCACATGCTGCACATATTCGCCATATAGCGGGAGTTGCTAAAAATTACTTTTTAGGCAAAATCTAAACGCAATCATTGGATTTACGAACATCGTACTGCCAATCATGTCGGTTAAATCTGAGCATTCGTCTGCGCATCCAATCATGAAGCGAAAGCTGTCCCGTACAGCGTGCTCGTTCCTCATGGGCTGCGAATCTGTCATTGCTAAGAACGTAAGCGTTTCGTCCCCATTCCATAGCTGCCAGCAAAACAAGAAGATCATCTTCGGATCTGAACAGTGCAGTTTCATTCACTAATTTCCTCTGTAGTGTTTGGCTTGAACAGCTTTTCTGTTCCGTAATTGTGAGAACGAATACTAATACCTCTTTAAGCAAAAAAAAACCAAAGAAAAATGTTGTGATGTACCCTTTGCTTCAACTGGATTGGCATCCAAAAGGCGGGACTTCGTGACCTGGTTAAGGCTAGAAAATGATCAGAGAGCACGAGCGCGAGAGAGACGCCGACTATGTCGAGGGCGCGACCGACCCTAATTAGGTCACAAAGCCCCGCCTTCCAGCCGCCAGTCGAGTTGAGTCAAAGGTTATGTCAAAGTCATTAGGCCTATTCAATGGAGATACAATAATGATATTCTGAATTGATTTTTTATGGGGGAGGTTATGCTGGCGCATGACCTAAAGCTGTAACCTCCATACAAACCACCGGAGACTGTGGGAGAAGAAGTTCACACAGCCCGATAATGGGTCGGATTCGAAAGTGTATGAGCGTATAAACTACTATCACCTATTAATCAAAATAGCATTTTCGTACTCTTTAGATAACTGGATTTGGAAAGATTACGATAAGGTTGTTTTAATCGAAAAAGAAATGGCACTGGCTTATTAACTATTAGTGAAGCCTACCAGCGGTAATTTGGTACTTGGGGTGCTTTACTGCACCTTCTAGGAATTAGATTGGTTTCGTAAGATGGGGGACTTCGAAAAAATCGAGAAAATTCTAGAAATAATACTTCAAGGTACCGAGAAATATTAGCACAATGCCCCTCCCCATCGTGCATTAATCATCATCTCATAACCTCAACTACATATAAAAAATCCAAATATTGGAACGTTCGTTTTATCAGCTTTTGCCAATAGATTCTTGAACGGTAATCTACTTACAGTGTAGCACAAGAAAACATTCGAACGTTTCCGCGCCAACGAACAGACTTCAATTTTTCGAATAGAAATGGCCGTGTCACCAGAATAACATTTTCGTACTCTTTCGACAACCTTAAATGAGAATTAATGTCAACAAGACTATATTCGGCTTTAAAAAGTAAAATGATTGCAAGAGCTTTGTAATACCTATTTGTCAAATCTATCAGCGGCTCGAGTCCTCTCAAAGTTCCATGGAAAACGTTGAGCGAATCAATTACAACAGCTTTTTCATTGGATTTTGACCAGGATCGAATCTTCTGTCGCAAAGCGGACACTTCCTTCTTGGTAACACTTCCTGGAGTATAAACGTCGATTATTTACATACCAAGTCGAGAGAACAACGCACCGCTGTCTTTGCTCAAATCATTCAACAAAGTGTTCATGTCCTCTTTCAGGCACTGGAAGTCGCCTTCATCGATGTCCTTTTCATGGGGGACGGAAAACGGCAATGTTTGGCCCGTTGGCGAAGTGAGCGCACCCTGCTTTGTTGCGAGCACAGGATCCGCTTTTGAACCACACATTCTGCAATATACCGAGATATATGATGAATGTGCAAAGATTTGTATGCTAACGGAAGGAAACGGAATTGCTGCAATTTTTCAAGAGAAGTTACTTGTTAGGATAGTTAGGATATTTTTTCGATATCCAGTGGTAGTTTCCACATTATCAACATGAGGAAAATGAAGCTTCAAGATTTAGTGCAGTCCAGACTGCATCCGATGTATTCAGATTCGGAAAACACCAGCGAAATTAGCGATAGGTGAAATCCCAAACCACCTTCCACTTCGATTTTTTTTATTCAGCGCGATAATCGGAGAATGCGAAAAAGGAATTTTTATGTCGGGAATTTGCTCTACATCTATCTTAAAATTAGTGATCTTATCAATTGGTTCACGGAAGAAACAGTGTACTTCGTTTTACCAACTTAAAGGCAGTGTCCGGGCAAGAAGTTGATTTTGAGATTTTGTGCTTATCCGGGCCTATTCGCTATGCTGAATTCGAAATCCACACTAGAATGAGCAAAAACGGCAGAAAAGGGCTCTAGCCCAGGAGGGAAACAGCACGTGGGCGGAATCCTCCCCACGGTCTTCCGGAGCGATCTTCTCGGTTCCAATTTCAGGTTAAGTGTTCGTACCTGGCCGATGGAGATTTAGAGTGGCTAGCGAAATCAAGAAAATTGCTCCGGAAATTTGGAGTGTGAATTTACAGTGGGGAAGACCCCGCCCACCTACTGATTTCCCTCCTTAGAGCCCCTTTTCGCCGTTATCGCACTTTTCAGTGTGGATTTTCGGATTCAGCATATAGAACAGGCCCTGGTAAGCATAAAATCATAAAATCGACTTTTTACCCGGACACTGCCTTTAAAGACTTGTGAACATTATCAAGGACTACGAACAAATTTCGAAAACTGCGCAAACATTATCTAACATTATATAGCGAAGTTATTGAACTGAACCAATACAGTAAGGTGGATACCAATAAAAATCGTTGTTGTTGGTTTCATGAATTGTTCTATTTACTTTTCACGAGAGAGATGACAAATGAGAATGATGTGAATTTCTCCCAACATAAACTCAAGCAAGATAGACTTCTATTTTCGATATTTTACCGTACGCAAGATAAATCAACTCTTCAAAGAAAGAGAAAATTTCAGAAGTGTCACCGCTTTTTTTCCGAAGAAAGAGAAGATACTCTCATTCCTGTCTTTACCAATTCCTATCCGCCATGATTTTTGAAACACGCATGTAATCAAAAGAGAGAAGGTAGAGAGTACACTGATAGTCGAATAAACTTGCTGAAGGAAACAAGACAGAAACATACTCTATCAGGAGCGAAGCATACTCGGACCACTGAAGTGGTGTTAGAGGCAATTGTTCCCGCGATAGTGCGTTCATATACCAGTCTATCACCTTCTTCCGATTCTCCTAGATGAAGCTTTTACCTTTGGAAGCACATCCATCAGAGAAAACCTACACTGTTCCGTAGCAGATATTCAACAATGTGGAAGATAAGAAGCGGTGAATAATGGGGCGACAGAGGACAGGAATCCATGATGAGACTAAGTTGTATTTTTAGGCAAGTAATCAAGAATGTCTGACTTCCTGGGTGGATTTAGACTTACCTGAATTGAGACCACTGATTGGCGTCCAAAGCTGCGCATGCCAAATGACTGTGAACTTCACGCCGGTAGATGACTTGCGCAAAGGCATCGACAAAGAACTCGGCTACTGCCTGTTTCGGGCTCGTCACACAAGTAAGAAGAGCTCCTAAACTTGAGTAAATTTCTGCCACTAGCTAGCAGCCGTGGGTATCGTGGGGTAAGCATTTATCAGACGCTCTGTAATTTAAATACCGATAGGATAGATCACGGTTATGGGGATAGAAAAGCAAAGGCGTTGTCCACAAATATCTGGCTACCTAAATATGTGGATATTGACTGTGAGGCCTTAACTAACCCAATGTCCAAGCTGCAGCCCATATAATTTATGTAATTGAGAACTACAACACCAAGTTTGGACCATACCGTACGTTTTCGAGCCAACCAATCAGCGCCCTCAAGTAGGGCGAAAAAAACGGTCTAGGGTGGATAGGTACAAGGTGATCACGACCACGAATGAAACATATGAGCTGCCGCTTGACCACAACTCAGACGAAGCTTCTTATCAGTTACCACTAGAAGAGCCCAGGTACCCAGATTCCCATGCATTGACTTCGCACTAGTTATTCAAAGCGGACAACAAGCACTGAAAATGACACCAGCAGTGGCGTACCCAGGATTTCGGCTCGGGGGGGGGGGGAGGACAGGAAAAATTTTTTGATGAAGGTGCTCACCCCGAAAAAAAATTTTTAGAAGGCTAAAATGAATTTTTTAAGATCTTAAAAATTATTTTAATTATTTACAATTGCTGACAAGTCATTTGCACAATTTTATAACCCATGGAAGTAACTTTCAAAAGTTTCGCAGCACGTTCTTGGGAGGGGGGGGGGCCTTCCTCGGTGCCACTGGACACCAGTGATCCGGCGAAGCAGAACAAGCTGTATTGAAACACTACAGGCATTTTGGACATCCGCACTTACCAGTGAACCCTAGTGGTAAGAAGGATTTGCATAAACCTTACGTTAATTTTAGAAAAGTCGCAACTTATTTCGATATAGTGAATAGGAACGGAATGGACCTAGGTAATTTGTTGACAATTTGTTGTTTTGTTATTGTTATCTTATAAATTCACTGCGGAAACCCGAGAACACTCACGTATGGCAAGAGACATTGATGGAGGTAGGCGAAGTTGCTTCGCACGATCCAGTAGTTCACTAGCAAGGCTACTCGCATCTTGAATCTGCTCCTTGAACTGAGCTTTCGCTATACATCGTCTATGCATTTCCCCCTCGGCTACAAGTCTTGCTGCTTCCAGCACAGCGGGTGGAGGTAATTTGGAAAGTCGGGCACGAACCAGCTCATATCCAAAGTCGAATTTTTGGCAGAGTCGAAGAGAAGAAAGAATGCGATGAAGAGTGATGTGTTCGGGGATCTCGGCGACATTTGGTGGGTCGGAAAGATCCACAAATTTGAGAAGTGGGTGCGATTCGATGACATCAGGCTGAATGTGGTGACTTAGAAAATTCCAAAAAAAGCAGTTGCCTTACCTTGACAAGCTGCAGAAGCGTCCAGTGCTTACGGCTACTTGTTAGATCTGTTTTCATTCTAGATGGGATAGGTTTTATTTTCACATTGTCAAATGGAACCGGTAACGGCTTCTTCAGCTCTGCACTCGATTTTGTCAGCCTCGACTGCTCCACTGGACCTACGTCAGGAACGGAAGTACAGCTGCTCTCAAGAACAGGTTTCGATCGCTTTGAAGATTTTTTCGCCGCTTTAGACAAATTTCTTACACAGAAGGATAAGCGCAACCCCTAAAAGGTAATTATTTTTACACAATATAAAATTACAACAAATATCGTCACCTCATGAGTTGTTCTTTTCATTGCCAAGAGCATTTTGATCTGCAATATTAACACCCTGCTCAGCAAGTGTCTGTTTATACCGCCGAAAATTATGCTGTCTTATGAAATGCGACACCCACGAAGCTGGACAAGCGTCTTCAAAAGCTTGCAACTGAATGCGACAGTCCTTTCTTGCCTATGAAAATTTCAAATTATCATGAATATCGTACGCTTGGCGATAAATACCTACTTCGTTTACCTTCGTTACCTACCTCTACTTCGTTTTTCCCGGAATCCAAACTTTTGTCTAAACAGTCTAGAAACTTGTCGCGAGCCTAAAAACAGGAGAGAATTTCTAGCCAGAAGCAAGCAGGGAAATAAAAACAGTTTAGCGATTAACCTCCAAGTTCGACCTTCTATGAATCTTGGCATAATTGAAATATCTTTTGATTTGTTGTTGAACTGTGGCCAAGATTGGTATGATAACAATTTATTACTTGGCTAACGTTTCGGCGCCAACGCTTCAGAGCCTGTAACCAAAAACGTATACGTGGCGTAATTACTGAGTCCTCGTTAACGTACGATTCAAACTGAGTTGAGCACGAGACCAGCAAAGAGATAGAACATGCTTTACCTTATTCGACGTCAGTCGAGGGATTTGACCGCACGTGGTCAAGCCGTGCAGAATGTGATCTCATTACCTGTCAAGTATGCGGTGAAGAATATGTGGGAGAAACCGGACGACCATTGTGTCTGCGGATAAAAGAGCACTTGGTTGGACTCGCAAAACGCAAAGAATCCACCCCTCTAAGTGCACATAGCAGAGTGTCGCACAATAATATGCCGTTTAAAATTGCTGCCACAATCTTGTCATACGAAGAAGAAACTATCCCACGCAAGACACTCGAAGCATTTCGGATTACATCACGTAACCCCAAAATGAATAAAAAGGACGAGTGCATTACCGTAATCAAAGAATTATCACCGTATCAAAGCCTTTGCGGTTTTGATTTCCAAAGTATAAACAGCATGGAGAACAAAAACGTACCATCACATTCTGCACGGCTTGACCACGAGCGGTCAAGTCCCTCGACTGACGTCGAATAAGGTAAAGCATGTTCTAGCTCTTTGCTGGTCTCGTGCTCAACTCAGTTTGAATCGTACGTTAACGAGGACTCAGTAAATACGCCACGTATACGTTTTTGGTTACAGGCTCTGAAGACGGCGTTGGCGCCGAAACGTTAGCCAAGTAATAAATTGTTATCATACCAATCTTGGCCACAGTTCAACAAAAAAAAAGTTTAGCGATTGTTTGTTCCCACCACTGAGGAGTTTTTCAGAATTCACGTGTTCATTAGCTTTGTAAAGTGCTAACTATGCATTGACTCAGAAAAATTACTTCCGAGAGACCTGTCCGCATACTTGCTTGTGTATGCGAAATTTTCATAATTTGTTCACTGACTTGACGATCCCCTACAGGGTGCAGAAAGAGTACTGCCGCTGAGTTTACCTCCTAAAGCATCTCAAATGTAAAGCAATTTTATAGTTTTTTTTATTCTTACAAGGAAACCGTGTCGAGTCGAAGTGGCCTTTCCAGATGAGACTCATACTGCTTTGAAGCGTATTAAGCGGTGATTCCAAATCTGCCTTCCAAATCTGCCAAGCGCCTCTGGACGCCGAGTTATGACCGTTCTTCGGAACGAAAAATGAATGCAGAATTTAGGTAAATTGATTGTTACAATCTTTCCAGCGCATAGATAAAGCAACGTTAATTAGCATATTAAATAAAATGTATCCATTGCATAAACAGCTCTGATACTTGACACTGGACCATTTGAGCAAATTTGGGCGATTTTGCTCCAGTTTTGCGTTCAATTTTTTGACCTGAAAAACGAGCATAACTCGGCGTCCAGAGGCGCTTGGCAGATTTGGAAAGCAGATTTGGAATCACCGATTAATGCTCTTCAAAGCAGTATGGGTCTCATCTGGAAAGGCCACTTCGACTCGACACGGTTCCCTTGTTAGATGTAGGCGAGATCTTGGAGATCAGATCAAAATAGTTTAATTTGGAATGTCCTCTATACATACGAGTGATAAGTGCGAGCAGGATCATCGTCGATGTGCCGCAGCGTTCAAGCGCGATTTTGGACCGTAAGCATACCACTAAGAGTAATATATTCAAATTTAAGTACTGTGTAGAGCAGATATATTCTCCAAAATTTTAAACTTATCTAGATCAATGGCATGATTTTTTCTAAACAAGGAAATTATATCACAGGCGAACGGCAAAAAAACACCACAAAAGACAGTACTGCTCTTGCTTGATGAGTTGGATCCCAACTATACTGAGTATTCCAGATTCCAACAAAAAGTGACAACAGTGAGGAGAGCAACAAGCTTTGTCTCTATCATAATTTTGAGTCAACAAAAAATTGTACGTAGTTTCTGTACCATAATTTCTGATCGCACCCTTCTGGGCCGCAAAGCTTTTTGTTGTTAAGATTCACAACTTTTCTTCAAGCTAACTGCGGAATGGCTATTTCCAGGATATTTCGGAGTTACTATCACATTCCTTAAAGGCAGTAGGTCGGCAGAATCAGACCCGTGGCAAAACAAGGTCACAGGGTAGGAGCTCCCATAGTGGAACCTTGGGCCAAAGTTCGATCTTTCTCTGCCACTTCTAACCCCCGAAATTTCAAAGCGAAAGCAGCGCTCATCCCCTGTCCTCTCCGAACCCGCCCATCCCATGGGACGTGACTTCCGCGGCAGAGCGCCAGCCGCAATGCTATAAGCATGAGGTCCCGCAACGACTCTGCTCTTCGCCATGACGGGCTTCGCGTTCACTCGTCCATGGGGTGGGCGGGTTCGGAGAGGACAGGAGATGAGCGCTGCTTTCGCTTTGAAATTTCGGGGATTAGAAGTGGCAGAGAAAGATCGGACTTTGGCCGATAGGTTCCATATGGGGGCTCCTACCCTGTGACCTTGTTTTGCCAAGGGTCTCGTTCTGCCGATCTACTGCCTTTAAGCAACAAAAGATCTCTTAAATCCACGCTGGAAACAAAAGAATTTTTCAAAAGTCCACAGTTTCTTCACACTTGTAGAATCAAGAAATGATATTAGATTAGAGAATTAGGGATCCGCCGCCGGACGAAACTGCAGAATTTTGGAGCCAGTTTTTGTAAAATGCTAGAATGTGTTCCCCTCTGAGGAATTATGTCGAATTTACCAGAAAAACCTGAAAATCTTGCCTATCTTTTTACCTTTATTTTGGGAGACAATACTTTTCCGCACCCTACAATAACGTAATCTGCACCGAAGCTCAAAATGACTTTTTGGAGCGCATCTTAAATCTCCGAGGGGAGACGGCCCTTCTGAACCGCTAACATTAGCGGCCTAATTACGCGCGCCTCTGATTGGTCGGTGCTGCCGGCGCTTGCTTGAGCGAGAGCTATGCTGTCGTTAGAGACTCTGAATTGGACTGCAAAGGCATTCTCATGATAAAAAGAATCAAACAAGATTTCGATTCCCATGAAACTCGAAAATGTTTTATTTAAGCGGCTTAGGTAAATTCTTCAGCTTACACGTGCAGACTTCATGGTGTTTTGAAAATTGGGAAGGGCGAAGAAAACGAAATGGCCTTAGAAACATGCAACCTTTCCAACTTTTTGTCTTCGTAATTCGAACATCCTCACTAACATTATCGTGTGCTTCACTTGCTTTGGAATGCTCGAAGAATGTTTGAAAAGTTTGCTAGATTATAAGAAAGGCGAAGTAATCAGCGTTGCCCGGGCAGGGTAATTAGCGCTAGGACGGAGCGGTTCAGAAGGGCACACACCCTCTCCGAGTTCTGCCAAATTTTGTTCACAGAGAATGCTTTGGCTGCAGATTAAGCCGTAGTTATTTATCGCAGTGTACTTATGATCCGAGATGGAGTAAGGCATTCAAAAAGAATACAACCTGATCTTCATCTCGTTAGATAGATAGATAGATAGATACTTTCCCATGCTCTCAGTGAGGAACGGGATGTATCACTGGAGCGTTTTTGATACTTCAAATACTTTAAATTTTTTACCATTAAATCTTGAAGACATGTAACATAATCAGTATTATTCACAAAGAACTAAAGAAAAAGACTTCGTAGCATTTCTGGTTCTCTAATAAAAGAATGAAAGAATGATTTTTAAAACGAGAACAAGGATAAAAGATATAGCTTGAGACGAAAGTAGCTTGCAAGTCAAAGAAGCATGAAGATTCACGCTCGCAAGTTGAAACTGAAATTTGAAAATTTATTGATTAGCAGCTATCTTGATCAAAGAAAACCAGAAGCCTAAAATGATTTTGCTGATTTGAAAAAAGGTGACTAGTGGCATGAAAAAAAACGGTCTTTTTCGTAACAGCTCTCAATTATGATCGTTTGAAATGCTGTTTACATGGAAAAGAAGCGAAAAATACGCACATGGTATTTCAGCAATTAGTCATCCAAATAATGACTATCACAAACCTGATGACAGATTTGCCTATCTTTCCTCAGCGCTCTCAATTTTCCCTCCTCGGACATTCCTGTCCGACAAAAACGAAGCTATAAAACACTTTACAGTATAGTACCGAGTGCTAGAAAGTGAGAGGTATGCAGAAATAGCTATTTATAGTTTCAAATTTACAGCATTAGTTAACAACCTTTATTTTACAACGCATAACAATGGGTATATTGAGATAACAACGAAGTACATTCTCATACATGGAAATTCGATGCTGTAGTTTGCCACTAACTATGATTCTTCACCGCTGCGAACCATCGCTTCACTTTTACTGCTCTCAGTTTTTCTGATGAAATTTTCGTCTGTACATCGATACACAATCTACGTAGCATACATTTACACTCGGAATAAAAGAGTACCTCAAACGTTCCTTACCATGAACGAAAGTACGGCCATGATAATTCCTACAGCCAAAAAAATATACTCATATGATTCGTCCGCGAGGAGAAATAATCGTAAATTTTTGATTTTATAACGAGCCTGAGTCCAAGTGGAAAATGTGGTGTTGGCGAGGTTGTAGCCTGTAAAAATCATTGAAAATGGCATTAATAGCATCACATTGTTAGGAAGTATGTACCTTCAATCCGAAAAGCTGGCGAAATTACATCATATGGAATTAAAGGAGAACGATAACAATGGAAAATGCCACTATCAGGATCAGCTTGCCAGCGGAAGGAATAAATCTGAAAAAGTCGTTCTTCAGGTCATTCATATCGTCGTGACTGCAAAAGCGCTCGGAAGCGTATGGTATTCGTAATTAGCATGTCAAATGACTCCTATGTGCAAAGCTTCATGCCGTAAAACCTCGAAGGAAAGGCCTTATCATGTAAGATAAGTAATATTTCTGTGATTAGCATCTAGAGTAAACCCCTAGAATAATTACAAGTAAGGTTTCCAGATAAGTGCAGAACAGCACTACACACTATCTCTCAGAACGTCAAGATCTCATATTTCGCTATCCCTTCTACAAGAAATATGGATAGCTGATACATAGATGTGTCAAAACTGAACCGGCTGATAAAAAATATAATAGAACACCTACTGCAAAGTTGTAGGAAAAGTGATGAGAGTCTAAAGTTTTTCAAGCATATTGATATGACTGCCAAGTAGATCTCTGACGATAAATTCTTCGCGAAATCACGGTATATGGATCACATTGTGCAACCCATGAAAAAATCTTCCTACCAAAATTTCTGAGATTCTGTTTCACAGCATACAACATCCAGTTCACGAAAAAGCAACCGTGCGCAATATAAATCAATGCTGTCAGTTATGAAATACCCTTCTAGACTTTCAGCAATTAACAAATCCACGATGGATATATTTTATCTCGACTACAGCGTTCCGAACTACTATTCTTGTTGCTCGCTTAACACTTTATCCATAGTTTTTCGTGGCTTACTCGCGCATATAATCATATTTTCCACGAGAGAGTGCGGTTGAACGTTTTCGGTAAGAAAACAGGGGCAATGGGACTTACTGAATTTGCCTTGTGTTCCTTGTCACAAGAATGGTAACTATTGAATTCCGTATCGTTTGTACCAATGGCATAGTGCATTACGTAGTAAACAGCTGACACGAGATACCCGCCGTTCGGAGTGATAAAGGTAGATTTTTCTGTGAAATTAAAGATGCACAGTGTCTAGAAAATAAGAAGGTACCTGTGGGAGGGTATTTTGATTTAGCAAAAAAGTCGCACTTCATGAACAGAGGTGAGCTAACGAAGCACTCGATGAGGGTAGAAACCTAGAAAACGATAACTCTCATACGGTAGAGAACTGACCTCAGCTTACAAAATCTTTGTCAGCTTTTAACGTCAGTTTGAGCTCGGGATCAAGACCGATAAAGTCGGCAGCAGCGCGCAGCAAAGCATTGGCCGCTAAGGCGATTTCGGAGACAGCAGCGGATCTTTCATCGGTGGTCCAGTTGACACGGTCCAACATCGAATTGAATCGTCTGCAATTCTTCCATATTTCGACAGAAATACTTTGGCTTTGACCATACACTAAAAGTGTTACCCATGTTACCAGTGTTGCCCGTGTCACCAATGTTACAATGTTACCCGTGCTACCGTATTACTAGTGTCACTCGTGTTATTGGACCCAGTGTTACTCGAATTACTCGACTAATTGCGTTAAAGGCAGTGTCTCACCAAAATTTAGTTGCCGAGATTTTTGCATTTTGCAAGCCTGTCGGACCCTGTCTAGCATTGTATGGCTTAAAATTGCACGAAGTTTCCAAAAATCCCGTTTTCTGGAGGCTCCGCGGAAGCAACGTGGACGAGTTGTACCCTCCAACTTGAGCCTCAGCCACAGTGACAGCAACAGAGGGGAGGTGGATGCCAAGTGGAAGGACATGTTCAAACGCGTAAGGAAGGAGACCGAAGGAGTCGTCCGCGCGTACCAACTCGCTCTCCGCGTACCACTTTGAGCGAATTTTTCTCATCGTGGAGGGGGTCAAATTAAGTCGGACTTGTTGCAATGGCCTATTTAGGGGTCCCTATAATAGTATATATGGAGATCCGCGCAACCCCAACTTTGGTGAGACACTGCCTTTAAAGGCCGGGCATTACATCACGTGATTTCATCGACTCGCGATTCTCTTAACAAAACAACAGTTACCAGCTCAACGCATGCTGACCATCTTGCATTTCGATTGTGATATTTTCCGACACGGCCAATCGCCGCTAACTATCACAACCGAAATGCAAGATGATCAGCATGCAAAAATACGTATAAGCTCCTGCAAGACGAAGGCGGTCGGTTCGATGTGCAACGCGGCTGCGACACAGCTGCGTCACAGCCGCCTCACAACCACGTCACGCATCGAACCAACCGCCTTCGTCTTGCAGGAGCTTATACCAGTTGTCTTGTTGTGAGAATCGCGAGGCGATGAAATCGCGTGATGTATGCCCGACCCTTAGAGAATGAGACTCTATTGGTGATCATTTTACTACCCAACAGCAATAAAAGCGCTAAAACTAGTAAAAGGATAACACTAGTAACACTGGTAACACGGTTAACACTGGTAACGCGAGTAACACTGGTGACGCAGGTAAATACGTCGAAGCCTTTGACAGATTCGATTTGAAATCTGTTAATGAAGGATAAACAGTCTTGTACGATATCGTATCCTTAGCATGGTAAAAGCTCAGTATTCCTTATATCTTGGCATTGTTGTATACTTTTCGGTACAACTGCTGAGCTGAACAAGAGTAGTATAACAACTTTATTGGCTGACGTCGACGTCAACCAATAAAGTTTTATACCAATCTTGGTACAATCTATGTCTGATAGTGATTTTGACTAATCTCCTCGGGTTCGTTCTGTTCCTGGCACTTGACTCTGAGTGGATAGACATTTACGACTTCGTCTTTCCAGGCTCCGAAGAAGGCGTAGATCAAACGTCGACGTCAACCAATAAAGTTACTATATCAATCTTGGTCAAGCTCAGCAATCGTACCGAAAAGATAACTTATCTATTTTGTATTACGATAGCCATTTCAAATGTTATGAAATTTTTATGGACAAGTATTCGAGTAATCTTCTTTTTGGGAATACATTTACTCATCTAATGGGAAACTATCGCTTCTTTTTAAATCATTTCTTACGGCTTTTGTTCCCAGCTTTTACCAAGATGCTAACTCAGCAAGTGACTTATAAGGCTTAGAGCATGCTTTCGATTTAAGGTGGCAATGCAAAATAATCCAGTGCGTTTCAATCGAGTGAGTTTGAAGAATGCCTTGTTCCTCTTTGCCACTGCTCTCAAATCGGTGATTTTGCTACCAATGAATTTTGGTTCAAGCAGAAGGTACAAATCGATTCAAGACGGAAGAGAAGATTTGGTACCAAACTTTCTCAAAACTTTGACATAGAAGCAACAGAATTCCAAGTCAAACTTTGTCATTGTTATTTTGAGACATAAGGTATTTTTTCAACCGATCCAATAACAACGCTTCCGAAGAAGAAGCATTTCTGTCTAATTTAGAATTTGCTGATTGAACAGCCCCAAATTCAAGTCAGCCGTATGCAGCACAGATTTGCCTAGAGCGCTACTGCTGTATAAAGTGTCCTCCAAAATATGTCTATTAACTATTCTTTTCTCTAAACAAAGATGACACATGGCAAGAGCTGCGATCACTGCGTTGATAATAAACCTTCCCGCGATTACATGATAGTAACAGTTTTTGAAAAAAAAATAGCCAAGGCAAACCCTTACCGATAGTCGTATTTGTCCTGAAACGGAGCGATGACCACCCCTTTCACGTCGGGACTGAATCTCGCGAATGAGTGCCAACTCGATGGCGGCATACGCGATTCTTCTGTGGGGTAATGCAGAGCGCCACCAGATGCGTTCACTCCAGCTGATAAAGAACTCAGTACGTCTGACAGCTGAAAACTACCAAATAGAAATGCTATGTACCACTCTGCCACTAACAGCGCCGTCTCGTAGCTGTTTTCCGTCAGCTAAAGCGTAGAGAGTCAATCCATCTCCAGTGCCTAGCTGTTGTACTTCGATGATTCCTTCTAGCTGTGAGAAACTTATTGGTTCAAGATAAGAAGAAGAACCGTCTAGTCGTGGCGGAAATTCTCCAATTCTGCAATATGAGGGTACGCTCAATAGACGAGATTCTTTTTTATCAAAAAAAAAACATGATTTTTTTATTGTAACGGCGATAAAGTGCTAGCTATTAATTTGTGGAAAGGATGCGCACATCATTCTTTCAAAGCTAATTCTCAATCCCTTCTGATTCCAAGACCCAATGCAGAATAAACCCAACTTATAATTCGGAAAATTCATGTATTGAGGCAGCAGAAATTTCGACTGCTTGGGAAGAGGTAAGGACTACATGCTGTAGATACGAGAAAGACAATAAGTTGACGAAGACAGCTTGAAACGAAGATGCAAACGCCAATCGTATAGCTCCCAGAAAATGTTCAAATACATACGGGTGAGGACTTCTTCAGTGTACAGGATGTCCCAAAAAATGTATCGAACGTTTGATCGTTAATATCTCTCTTCTGAAGAACTTTTTTCCCTTGCTTTAGGTACCAATCTGTAGAGCTGGCTTCAACTTAGATTTGCATTATAGAACGAATCACTCATCTCTCTTCATTACTGTAGGATTACGGTAGAAACTTCAAAGAAGGTTTTAAGCAATGAAAGGCCACATCTTGCCTCAGAAAAGAAACAAAAGAGCCTGAAAACTTTTACACTAGGCTAATTAGAGTTGCTGATTATAACTGTAAAGTTCCCAACTTGTTATGATGCTTCATTGAAGAGTTATGGCAGGTACGAGGTAGCGGCCATTTTTTCAATGTTCTCAAAAAGTGCGATTAAATCGTTTAGAAAGCTTCATAATCTTGTGAGTAGTTGAGTATTGAACTCAGCGTCCATAAAAACCCTATTACACATGTTTTCACATTTTTTTTGAAAAATTTTGAAAAGGCAGCTTTTTCCACATTGATACCATATGTCTCAAGTTTCTACCGTAAAACTACAGTAATGAAGAGAGATGAATGATTCTTTTTACAATGCAAATCTATGTTGAAGCCAGCTCTACAAAACGGTACCTGAAGCAAGGCAAAAGACTTCTTGGGAAGAGAGATATTAACGATCAGACGTTCGATACATTTTTTTGGGACACCCTGTATATGTTCCGAATATGTCCGGATATTTTCTTTGAACTACAAATCGACATAGGAGTAGCCAATGCAACAATTTCTATGTATCAAAATGGTACCAATCACCTTAGCGTAATCAACTTCGGGAGCAGAGCAAGAAATGACGCATTGAGCTAGAGCGCACATGATAGATGCAGTTTTCATAGACTGAATTTCTGTTCAGCTTCGGAATTTAATGCAATACCCTGGCATTTTTTGAATATTATTCTGTCATTTTACGCATCATACTGTGAGAATGCTGAGAACAGCAGGACTATCGAAGACAAGATCAAAAGCCGATTTTACCATATCATCTTAGTTATCTACTACCGAAGTGGCGTTACGAGCAATAACAAAGACTCTGACAACAGCAATACGAAAAACTCTTCAACTCACGACATGCTGTAGGCAATTGCGCTACTCCCAATGTAGTCGAATGCTTCCTAGAGCCTCATAAGATTAGATGGTTTCCGTAATGTACGTTTAGCTTACTCCGTCAAAAAAGGCAATAATAATGTGCCGTTCTGAGGAAATGGCCGCTTTTTCAAAATCATCCATATGTAGTCCTATGGCACGAGCTATCGCCATCATAGCTATGAGTGAGGTGATTGCACTAATTTCTCCGGGAGAAACTTGCGGAATCAATCCAAAGCTGTCTAGCTGAATTGTAAGGTTTAGTTCTAGGGTAATAAAAGTAAACTGCTTCAAAAAACTAACCCTGGCTGCAAGCATCAGGTACTTACTGTTGCGTCCGATAGATGATTTGTTATAAATTTTCGGAGGTAGGAAGGCTATTAAGTCAAGGCCCACTAATTCACTACACAATACACTGAAAGGAACAATGAACATCATAGTTTTTGGGTCATAGTGTCCAAAAACCAACTCAGTCTTCCACAAAGCCTGATCCACAAACCGATTCCATGATTCACTCCTTCTTTTACAGATTTCTGAAGAACCTGCGGCTCTGCTGATCACGCCAAATGATGCAGCGCAAAAAGGATATGAAACTGTTGTTGATCCATTTACGGGCACATTAAACATTTCGTAGCACTGGAATGAGTTCAGTGCAGTTATTTCTGACAATCAAAGGTGAAGGCCATTGCCTTTCTTATGAGAGTAACGTTAGTCTCACTGCTCAGATACAGAATTTGCATGGCCCAATCAATCCTGAGAAGACCTTCACGCAGAATATATCCTCTTTCGTTCCATACATTATTTTGAGCACATGATTCTCCGTACCTATCTGAAAAAGATGTACATGAGTCCCCAATCTCGCATAAGAAAAGTAGCCATTACTGTAATTTCCTTAGGAGTAGAGACAATAGGATCTAATCTGCGTGACAAGGAAGATTTTCCAATATCTTGAACTAAAGTGATTTGTACAGCACGCGGCAAGACTTTCATCAATTTCACTTGCATTGCTTGGAGTTACAAATTGGTGCATATAGAATATCGCTCTATTTTTTGAAAAGGACGCACAGTCGTCAATTCATGTGACATCGCCGTAGCGTGGCCATACCTCCCAAGGCCTCGGGCAGAGTTCACGCGATTTGATCGTCGCGATTCAATCGCGACAAGACAACCATCACGAGTTCATTGCATGCTGACCAGCTTGCATTTCGGTTGTGATACTTTTCCAGCCCGAAATTTTTAAATGTAAAATGAAAATGAATGGAAATCGCAACGATCAAATCGCGTGAACTTTGTCCGAGGCCTAAAGTGGATAAATTTTTGATCCAAAGCCACCATTCGACTCAGCTCAGCGCATTTTCTGAAAGAAGTGTCTGTTTGGACATAATAGAAAGCCCTTTTTCAAGAAACGTTTCAAATTTTTGCTCACAGTAAGCTGCCCAGCGAGTAGAACGAATAAGCACACTGAGCATATTCCGCCGTAAGCAGAAATCTGAAACAGTTTGTGGAGTCTGATCTCCTCCTGTGTCCAGGCGGGCACTTTTACATACCAGATGATGCCGAGCTGAGTCAAATGGTGCCTTCGGATTAAGAATTCGTCCACTCTGAAGCGAGATATGGCCACGCTATGGTGATGTCACATAAATAGCGCGACTGTGCATCATTTTTTTCCAGAAATACGAGCGGTATTGTACCTACCGTAACCGATAATAATGGTATAGCCATGAACTGGAAGTTCGCTTATTGAGCAGAGTGCAAACCGCCTCTCCAAGTCATACGATACGGGGGTACCCCGAAAGTATGTACACAATGTTTGATCGTCAACATCTCTCTCCGAGAACCAAACAAGTTGAGAAAGTCCCTTACACGAAAGAACTAACATTTTCGTAAAGCTTTTTTTTAGAAGTTATCCAGTTTACTCTCAACAATGATTTTAATATCCCTCAAAAATGTAAACAATTCAAAAAAACTTGAATACTCGTAAAAAGACGAGTAGTGCGTGTCTAGTACGCCTGGTACACTGGTACGCCTCACATTTTTGGGAAATTTTCCCAAACGGCCTATTTCACAATGGCACTATAATGCTGAAAGTTTATACAGCATTACAGGTAATGAATAGAATCGGCAAATCGCTTCATCCTGAAATTAACACGTCAACGACCGTGTGCATACGCACGCAAGCACTCTAGTTTCTCAAGTGTAAATGAGAAGTTCTAAGGTGATTCCTATGCAGGAATACTACCTTTCGCATGATTGTCATATAGAACAAAAGCTGTTCAGGGTTTAATTCACAAACTCGGGTATACAGTCCATTTTTAATGTTTTGAGTATATGCTAATTATGACTTTAAGAGAAAGGTAGCTCTGTATGGTTTTCTGAGATCAAACAAGGATAGATCAGGCAATAAACGCCTGATATTATAACGTTTTTCGCGAAGATAGATTTCATAGGCACAGTCATTGCATAGTTCATTGGAGGGGAAAGCGATGTAAGAACCTTGATATGTATGATTCCAAGTAAGACTTGATATGGATGTATTTTCGCATGTTTCATGAATAAGCGTCAAAAAGACTTCCACTTGATGATTTCGTGCATACGCGCATATGCACGAGCGAAGTAGGCGGGAAACGTTAGTGGATGCCTCGCCCGAAATGGCTCGGTCGTCGACTCGGACGTAGATTAACTGATCAAAGGACTTGCAACCGATAAAGCGTTTTCGCCAGGGTTGAAGCCAGCTCTGCAGAATGGTCTCGAGCGTCGGCAAACAAATTTTTGGAAGAAGAATCATTAACACTGCTTGCATAATTTTGCGACTCCTGTATTCTGCAGAAAGATTGATCAAAGGACTTTCAAAGCGGACACTTGAATCGCCTTCTATTGCAAACGACAGCGCTGTGACAACTATTCTGTAGAAACAGTACAGTTCTTGTCAAGTACCTCCATACGAATTCGGGCAAGCACCATCATGTGAAAGACTTTCATTGTCGTCAATAGATGATGGACTGGTGACAATCAGACCAGCGATGCATGTCGACATTAACAGCTCTCCGACAAGTGCACTGAAACTTGTTATTAGTAAAAAATGGAGCATAATATAAAGAATAAAATGTTGACTTACCGGTTGATCAAATTGGCAGAGAGAACCAAGTGATATTTACCGGTGTAACCGATAAAGCGTTTTCGCCAGCAGCTACGAAGGCCCTCAACATCGTCGACTTCAAAAAACACTACAACTCCATGGAACTCGGATGTTGGTGCTGAAAGAATTCTTAGAGAATTTTTAAACGATAAACAATGGACTCACAGTGAAATCCAAATTGATGGGTGCCATTGAGCAAACGATATCCAAAAGTTCCCGGTTGGACGGCGATTTCGATATAGATATCATCAGCGAAACTCTCACTCAGACATGAAAAAAGCTATCATATCCTCCCCATAATCCCCTCCTACTACATTATGAGAACGTCGGTATGGTGAGCTGACATGGTTATATGAACCTTGGAAGAAAATTTTACAAATGTGATTATTCACTATTGACGACTGATGGTCAGACTTATCGGATTTATGAAGGTACAATGAGTACATTTTTCTCCTTAAATAGCATGAAGCAAAACCGCTGCAGGTACTTTTTTATCCTCACATTTTTTACACATCCAAGATAGATACTTCAAAACTCATGAATGACATGGAATGTCCGCTTATGTGAAATATTTTTTAACTGTTGAGTGTACGTTTATGCTTGGATTTCCTTCGAAATGGCAACAGAAAATAGCCGACAAGTAACTATGAGAATGGAAGAGCAGAAAAATTTTGTCTAAACAAAGTCCAAGCAGATGTGACCATCTGATTAATCATGTGAATACTCTTGAGAAGTCTTAGCTGATTTCATATGATCGTAATCAGGCCCCACTCCAAATTCTCGTTCGCTTAAACGGTAATCTTTTCGAACAGACCTCAGCACTACGATAGCAAATGCGGCTGAGAACGGTATGAAGTAGTCATGGTAGTTTGAGCTGAATTTTTCAAATAATCAAACGAGCTGCGTTTAATTAAGGCTTAGTGCCTCCCAATAAACATGTAACCCAAGTAATCAAATTTCCTGAGCACTATTTGATATACGTTGGAAATGTGTGGATGCGCAGGCAGAGATCATTAGATGTGGTGAACAAGTGCTAAAACGGCCTAAACCTTCCAACACTTCACAAGGAAATGGTCAGAAGTCAAAGTGGCCAATCGAATCAAGCTGCATACCATTGGATGCAACGCTAACTCCAAATATGCCTTATGTGCACTCCTTCGTATAGAAGTGTGAGTTTATTGCAGGAAAATCGCACATACATATTGCAAAGTTAGATACATTATTGCCATTTTAGATAACCGTTGAGTGTGGACTACACAAAGCACATATTAGCTTAAAATAGCCCAGCATTGAGCCAAATATGGATATGTGATTCTAAACTTGCACTTTGCATGCACAATTTTTTTGCAGTTTGATTGCTCACAACTTCTCCACAAAAGTTTAGCAAATAAGGGTGACAAAATGGAGTCAGCGTTCTACGCTGCTTTCACGTATGCAGCCTGTCCTGCTTGGCCTCTTCGACTTCCGACCACTTGTTTGTTAGATCAGGTCTTTGCGAGATTTTCGTCTTGTGTCGCTCAAAGTGAAATGTGCGAGTTCGCCACCCAAATGGTACCATTATCTCCACGAATGCATTTCTGTTTCACTTAGGTGGGTGTTTGGTCACCTTACTTTTCGTCTTCCCAATGTTTCGCAAAATTTTCGAATACGGTCCAAATCAGCAACAAATCCGCGCAAGCTTTTTTTGTTCACAACTATTGCGTAGCTTCCATTCACAAAAAGCCTTATACTTTACGCTACTTTCAATGAAAAAACTGTAGGAACTGAATTTTCCAATACGATGGGATCGAAACCAGAGTTAGTGGCAATGAATGTACAAAAGTCGGGTTTGATACATACCTGGTGGAAGCTGGTCATAATGACAATACATAATTACCAAGTATTTTTCGAATTATGTTTGAGAGATATTGTAGTTCTCCCCCCTTACCCCTCCCCTCCAAAAATTCTGCTGCTACTACGCGATCTAAAGCTCACTTTTGGTAAGCTTCTCTCAATCAGCTCTTCCTGCTGCAGTCAACTGATTTTGCTCAAATTTATCCTTTTTACCGTTTTTCAGCTCCAAAAAGTTTTCTGTAACACTTGTTGCTTTGTCGACCAATGAATTGCGAAAATTGAAAAATGCAATTTCGTCGATAAAGAATAAATTCTGAACGAAAGCAGCTGCCTCCACGGGTAAGTAAATAAAGCTGGAGCAATGTTGAAGAAGAGGAAGTTATTTATCAACGAAGATTGGGATGTCATCAGCACAGTTCAACACATGAACTGCAGCCAATAGACCTATTTATCTAGTCCAGTTGTTGTTTCAAGTGCATCTAAAGATATTTTTGGTTGTGGTACCATAGCCCACCCCCCCCCCAATACCGCTACGTCTGTTTTCAACCTTGTATTACCTATCGATCATCGCTTCACTCTCAGCTTTACCTTTAGATATAATATTCAGCACAGTTCTCGTGGTTGGTGGCGAGAAGGGCTTTACATGCTGCGGTTTGTAGAGCAGTTATCTGATATCTGATGATTATTAATAAGCCGTAGTTTCTTCAAAAGACGAAGAAACACAACTTGTATGATAGTGAACAAGCGCGCACAACAAGGAAAATACCTCTTCAATTTTTGTGAAACAGATAGGAATCTGGTAATTCTTGCAATATGATGTATTCTTTTTTCTGCTCTCATACAAAGATATCTGAAGCCACCGGTGACCAATGCGAATGTAACCTATTCCCAGGCCTTTGAGTAGCGATTGCGGTTCTTGGATGAGCCAGTGCTTGAGGAAACATGCTGTTTTTCTGCTCTCATACAAAGATATCTGAAGCCACCGGTGAGCAATCCGACTGTAACCTATTCCCAGGCCTTTGAGTAGCGATTGCGGTTCTTGGATGAACCGGTGTTTGAGGAAACATGCTGTTTTTCTGCTCTCATACAAAGATATCTGAAGCCACCGGTGACCAATGCAACTGTAACCTATTTCCAGGCCTTTGAGTAGCGATTGCCGTTCTTGGATGAGCCAGTGCTTGAGGAAACATGCTGTATACATATAAGTAACCGGACGTGATTTGAGGGTTCTTTTCCAGAGTGTGAGACACCAGAGCGGAAACACTTACAGGACTTGATAAAGCAACCGACCAAAAAAGAAGCAAGCATGGAATAGGTCTAAAATGATTGCTTCCATTCTAACAAGAAGCGGTTGTTATCAGAAAACGACCAGTTAAACACGTAAGAATGATGAGTAGCAAATGCAGACAAAATGATTATAGAAGAAAAAAATTGGAGAAGATATAATGGCAAGTTCCTATAACAATGGATGTACTACACTAAGTTAAACGCAGAAAAAAACCTACTTCGGTAATACAGCAAGAAAATTCGTCCAGACTGATTTCTCTAACCGACTTCGCGAAATCAACATATCATTTCGAGATGGTATTGTGACCGAACCTGAAAGGTGGTAAAAGGAAAAGAAAGAATTTGCTGAGAAAACGAATTAAGCGTAGTCACGCGATGCCCATCAGCAACATTGACGGTATCCGATGAAGACGGCCCAAAATTTATTAAGTCGAGATCATATACAAACCACCAATAAATAATTTGACAAATTAGGGCGATCGAAATTAGCGAGAAATAGAAAGTAAAGTACATATATACATATCATCATGACTAGCAGGATGGATGCAGATGTACATTTGTTATAAAGGTTCACCCTCTTCCGCAAGACGCTCGCCTTCGTCTATAATGAACGACTCTTCACTGCAACGACCAACAATCTAAAATGTTTTTTTCAATATTAGATCAAAAATTTTTACTGATAAACTACTAGACTATCCCCATACCAAGAACGAGATTATGGCAACAATCACTCCCAAGCAAAGCATCACATTTTCGAAAGACTCTTGCTCAACGAGATATAGTCGCAAATGGTCGATATTGTACAAAGACTCCGTCCAAGTGGAATAAGTGGTGTTAGAAAAATCGTAGCCTAGATAGGTAACGTCTAGTCTCAGTGGTCTCAATAATAAATGAGAAGAAATTACCTTCTATTCTGAAAGCTGGAGAGCTGACTGTGGTTGTGGACATCGAGGTGCGATAACAGTAGTGAGCACCAGTTTTAGGATCAGCTTGCCATGTGTACACATAGACCTTCAACAGGCGGTTCGCCGTAAGTCAAAAGCTCAAGTAATAACCTACATTCTGCCCCTTTCCTAGGTCGTCACATGTTTTCATATCTTTTACGTTGCTAGTGTGCGAAATAGACCCTGCCGCGTACGTCGTCAGCCATTCAACAAAGAACCGCACAGGATTACGGTAACCAGCAGACACATAAGTGGACTTTCCAGAGTAGAACACTGGAAGTACCAATGTTGAAATAGAAAAAAAATTTACGAAAGTACCCTGGGAAGGCTTGAATCGATTTTCATTCAGTTTATTGAAGAAATCACATTCAAACCAATTCGGTTCATCGATGAAACACTCAACAAGAGAGGAAACCTAAACATGAAATCTCAAAGATTTAGTGTAACAGATCAAATGAACTCACAAATTCTTTATCCACTTCTAAAGTTTTGCTAAGAGCTGGTTCAAGACCAACGTGTTCTGCTGCCACACGGAGCATAGCAGTCGCCGCAACTATTATTTCAGTGATGGCAGCCGATCTTTGAGGAGCTGTCCATTGTGCACGATCCAATACTGAATTTATGCGCCTAAAGATAAGCTCCGTTACTAGAAGTAGTGGAAATATGGAGCAAGCATTCAAACCGATAAGTATAGTGATTCCCGAAAGGTGCTAGCACCACTCCACGCACTGAAGGAGCAATTCGGGCGAATGTGTGCCAACTGGATGGAGGCATGCGAGATTTTGCAGTTGGAGGTACCAACTTTCCGCCAGCGGCTGTGGCTCCAGCGTTCAGCGCAGCCAACAAACTCTTCAGCTAAAGTCATAAAATCACGTACAAACTACTTAGCTAAAGATAAGGACTTGACATACCTCCCCTTTCTCATACTGCTTTCCATCAGCTAGAATGTTGAGTGATGCGTTACCAACCCCACTACCAAGCTGCTGAACCTCAACGATACTGTCTAGTTGAGAGGCTACGACTGGATCAAGCTGTGCTTTCATGTCTTTCTTGAGCTTCCTTGGGAAACTTTCAGTCCTAAGAGGTGAAGTTATACAAAAATTTGAAAAAATGCAAGCCAAGAATAAAAACGAGGAATTTGATCACGGACATCCATATGGAAGAGGAAGGCGCTATATACACTAAACTTAGAGGAGGAAGAAGACCACTGCTATACACAAAATGTAGCGTGATTATGGAGGATTTCTAGTCACTAAACGAAAAAAGTTGCAACAACAACCGTAAATAAATCAGATATTAGCAATAACAAATGGAAAATTAAATCGTTTCAATGCTTTAACGAGAAGACTAATATTACAGAATTTAACGCATCATGTACACATTTCTATCAAACCACTGTATGATGGCTTGGGCTTCCCCTACAACCCTCGTCAAATTCTTAGAATGTTGTAAAAAGTAGGATATAAGAAAGCACTTACATCATGTCATAAGCCGCATCGCTGCTTCCAATGTAATCGAAAGATTCCTAAAATGAGGCAGTCATATATAATAAAGATTTTGATCAACAAACCCCATCAAAGAAAGCGACGATAACATGACGATCAGATGCATTAGCCGCCCTTTCAAAAACTTCCAAATGCTGTCCAATAGCTCGCGTAGTCGCTAAGAGAGCGATAACGGATGTGAGCACACTGATTTCACCAGGTGAGACCTCCGGAATGATACCAAAACTGTCCAACTAGGAAAGAGATTTGAAATTATAGTTATGAAGCTGCAAAGACCCAACACCGTAAAATTACCCGAGCGCAGAGCATCACATATCTCGCCGTATGAGCTGCAGTTCCGTTGAAAACTCTGGGTGGTAGATAAGCCATAACGTTCACGCCAATAAGGGGACTACATAAATCACTGAAAACGATCTATACTTTCTGCAGAGACCACAATTAAAAACAAAACACTACTCCTTATTTTCGATAGTGAAGTCTAGAAGGCGTGACCAAGGCTGACTCCTCCTATAACATATTTCGCTCGAACCAGCGGCTGTGCTGAAAACCCCAAAAGAAGCAGCACAAAATGGAAACGATACAGATGATGCACCGCCGCTTGGAACATTGAATAAATCGTGACACTAAAAAAGACATATTTACATGAGTATACGCAAAAAAATGAAAAATGGTAATATTTTGTATTAAAGTGTTTCTGCATGCTTGGTTTAATTTCTTTCTTGATATCTCATCACGACATTCAACAAATGAGCAAAAATGTAATTTCATCCATAAGTGGCCGTCTTACCTTTTTTATAGCGTCGATATGTGTACTATTGAATAGATATAATATCTGCATTTTCCAGTCAACATTCCTCAGGCCTTCAGGCAAGATATAACCTTCGTTCCACATAGACTGACATCCTTCCTGGTAGATTCCTAAACATCTAATGTCCATGAGATTTCGTAAACAGATATGCCTATATATCTGGCTGTTCTCTTGTTCACGTGCACACAATATCTCGCCTACTTTTTCCCACTCAGCGACTTTTGGAACAGCTACTTTCAGTTACTAGTTTTACTTACCACTTCTAGGATTTGGGCAGGCACCGTCATGTGACAAAGCTTCACTGGGATCTAATTTCGATTCAGGATTGACTATCATGAGACCTGCTATACAATTCGATGCCAGAATATCGTGAACGAGTGACCTGAGTGACTAGCATAATTGTATACTATGAAGAACCGAGACCAAACTGCTTGCGAAACCCTCACCTATCAATAATGTCCACAGAAAGAAGAACATGGTATTTGCCTTTATAGTCACGAAATCGACTTCTCCAGCAGTCCAGCAAACCGGCTCTCTCACCTTTTTTCATCATAACAACGACTCCACGAGAGCCCGCTTTTGAACATGAAAAAAAAATCAAACTTTTTATCTATAAAGATTGCGAAATTACTCACTATGGAATCCAAACTGATGTGTCCCATTGAAAAGTCTATAACCTGCTACACCTTCCGCCACAGGTAACTTGACGTATATATCATCAGATAAACCCTCTCCATTGCACAAACTGAGGGCTGAAAATATATTCTTTCACGTTCTGATGATACAAATTAGGATATCTTGAACCTGACTTGCGCTAAATTTATCATGGGCTACTCACCTGTGATCAGAAGAAGTGACTGAAGAAAGTGCATCTTACGCGGAAACAATTCATCTAACACATTCTAAAACGTGGTTATAATTATCAAATCTCGAAATTATACACGGAAAAACGGCGCCGCACAAGATGATTCGAAAATTGTTTGACCGTATGCCAAACTTTGCAACGACGTGAATTAACCGATTAACATTCTTGCACTCTCCCTTTCGGAGAGGTTCCTCACAATACAAATTTCACATTTTCAAAGCTCATTTACGCCTTTTTAAAACTTTCGTGGCCCATTCTCCCCGCCCTCCCCTCCCCGCTTAGCCCCTCTCTAACTGATTAGGGTTTCCACGACCGCTACGTTCTCTTTTCTCTAGCATGATGGTAATATCACAAAACAGCGGACAGGCTGCCCCATTAGAGTAATTTCGCCTGGTTTTGTCTCTTATACCATAAACTCTAACTGACGCAAAAGAAAACACTTAAACAGACAACAAGAAGAAAGATGCATTGCACTCACTGAAGTCCTTGGTATGGAAATCCAAAGATGGCACAGTAAAAAATCAACTGACTATGCAACTCGCAACAACAAAATATATTAGAAATTCATTATATCAATATCTGCCAAGATTGGTCAAAACAGCATAGACGTAGGCGGATAACAACTTCCTCATTGTAAAACATCAACAATAACAAAAACGATTGGTCACACACGTCACTTGGGCTTGTAGTCTTGGCCGGTTTTCTCCTTGTATAACTTCTTTAACTCGAGCAGTTTAGCTATAGCGGTTTTTGAAGCTTCCTGAACTTTGAAATTGTTTTAGTTGATAGATGGACAAAAACACTGTAATATGTTTACCGATTTTGCATCCTTTGCCTTTTCGCTACGTACAAGCTCTCCTTGAGCTTGAATTTGATTATAAAGGGTAGCAGCATCATCATCGGGAGAGGTAGCGACATTTGGCGTACTTCCCTCAGGTTTCTGCCCTGGTTTATATTCGATACCAGTAACCTCTTTATACTGTTTCTTTAACTCCAGCAATTTAGCAATAGCGGTTTTGGACGCTTCCTCAAACAAATATAGAGAATCGATTTGTTAGTGCCTGATGACTAAAAGTATTACCGATTTTGCATCCTTCGCTTTCTCACTTCGAACAAGATCTCCTTGTGCCTCAATTTCCGCATAGAGTGCAGAGGCATTTGACGGTGTTGAAGCAGATGGCTGAGATTTCGCAGGAGGCGTCTGCCCAGGCTTATAATCTGTCCCTGTTAGTTCCTTATACCTTTGTTTGAGCTCAAGTAACTTCATTATTGCTGCTTTTGCTGCAGCCTATAAATGCAGATTGAGAGTCTGCATACACATAATTCTTTTATTCACACTACCGATTTTGCATCCTTGGCTTTCTCTTGCCTCGTCAACTCCCCTTGTGCTTCGATTTCAGAGCATAATGCTTGCACATCAGACGAAGCTTTAGGAGCAAAAGGAGCAGAAGTTGTTTCCGGGACGTAATCTTTGCCAGTTTTCTCCTTGTATTGTTTCTTTAGATCCAGTAATTTAGCTATAGCACCTTTGGTTGATGCCTGAAATTTAGCAAATGGTGCGCACCAAAAAGAACACTATAGACTTCACTAACTGATTTAGGATCCTTGGCCTTCTCACTTCGCACAATTTCGCCTTGCGTTTGTATTTCTTTGACAAGCGCTTCAACAGACACGTCGCCGCTTGCAACTGAAGCCGGAGCAGACGATGAAGGCGGCTGTCCTGCTTTGTATTCTTGACCTGTGGCGTCTTTGTACTGCTTCTTTAATTCCAACAACTTCTGCACAGCTTGCTTTGTAGCATCGGACTAGAAATTCAAGATGGTTTACAATGACTTCGCCTGCTTCACTCATAACAACCTTCGGATCTTCCGCCTTCAGCGCTCGCACTGCATTTCCTTGATCTTCAAGAGCTTTGTATAGGGCAAAAACGTCACCGGAAGATGAGGAAGCCACTGCAGGCTTTTCTGTTGCGTTCTAAAATAATGAGAGGTGGAGCTGGCAGCTTCTTATGCGATCTGAGGTGCACAGTGGAGTACTTTCATTTCAGCAGGATGCTAAAAGACGCAAAAATATCTACTGCAAATTGTTTCATAGACTCTCAGTTTGAGAATTAGAGTGAGCAAATGTGCAAAAATATTCTGAAAGAGCCCTAGTTGAATAGGTTCCTGGGGCTCTCTCTTATCTATACTTATTACTTCAGGGCATCAGCTCATCTCTTGCATGAGAGTAAGCGCGCAAAGTTATAACATCCACACTGAACGTTAGGTTTGGGGAAGGTTTTCTTGAACGTACAAACAGTAATCATAATAAACGAAATAGCACAACATATGGGACACTGCTGAGTCATGAAGTCACAATACATTAATTTGATAGCTGCTCCCTACATATGAATCAAAATCGGATTGTAGCCTGATGCTCGAGCCAGAAACTTTCTCACCTGCTTAGCCTTATTGGCCGTCTCCTTAATATGTCCATCAGGAATATAAATGAGTAGTAAAGGTGTCTCGGAAGCACTATAATAGAATTTCAAATGACACGAGACTATTCGAATAACAATGATACCTAAAATCGCTCTTCTGCTGGTAGACGTGATCACAAATATAGAATCCCTTGCGTTGCAATTGAATGATGTCACCTTTCTTCACACTGAGGAGTGCTGGCTCACCAACCATTTTTGTGTAATGCTGAAAGTATGGTCTCGAATTGACACAACCAACTTCAATAGCGCGAACAAGTCCTACAAATCAATGGAAAAATTACATTATTTTCTGCCCATGCTTAGCTGAACCGTTCGCGGCCTACTTTGGCAACTCATTGTATCTCACAAGTGAAGAATATTGTCATACAAACTATGCCATGACATCTATACAAGTTGATTTACAAAGCGAACAGTACAACAATTTTGTGCACGACTACTTATTTAGTTTTTTTCTTCACGAGATAAGCCCACAGTCATGAGGAACATGTATTCAATTCCCATAAGTGCTTCCATAGTGCGAATGGATAGGCTCAAAAAACATTAAAGCTTGACCACAGTGGACAAGGTCAGTGTTTGTGCTGCGCAGATTTAAAAAATTTGAAGAGTCGTTTTTTTTTCGCTTCTGATTGAATTAAGTGGTTAGGCTTGACCAGAATGGTCAATTACAGAAATGACTGGCTGATGGGCGCAGACTTCCACGACAAGCGGCATTACTCAATACCGTATGAATAAGAACATACCACGGAGTCATAATTGATGTAGTTCTTCCAATCATCCTCCTTAGCAATGATAGCTTTACTAATGATGTGATCGTAATCTACAGTAACCACTGGAATGAGCGCTGCGCTCGGAGCCTCGGCCTCCGCTATCCACGTTACCTTCATCGTTTTCTTGAAGTCCTGTAAATGCATTACTTAGTTAGCTTATGATAAAAGCGCTTCACAGGAATGTACCTGATTTGCTAGATCCAAAACTGCATATATCTGCGTCACTTTTCCATCACTCTTTTCTACGGAGGAAATTTTGATGTTTCCCCAATTGACAAAAGTGACCGTATCGCCACTTTTCATTTCACAAGCGTCCGCTTGCTCTACTAGTAGCTTTGCGCTTCGCCATATGGATTTTGAGCCGACACTCTGATTCTGCAATCGATGACCTTCATACCAAACTCTCAGCTCTCCAACTAGAGTTCATTAAAAGTTAAGAAGAAGATGCTATCGAACATTAAAAAACTAAACTTCTAACTCCTAATTTGAAAGGAACCTACTTTACCTTTGGATGGAGAGGAACCTGTACTTCTTCGACGGTAACTGGAGTTGAGATGAAAACCGGGACGAGGGAGGCGGAGTCAAGAGCTGTGTATCTAACAAAAAGTCTGGTTTGAGTGAAGTTTTGACCAATGAAGGTTCAGAAGATAACATGTACGACCGTGTAAACTCACCTTGGGGCTACGGGGTCAATAACTTTCTTGTTAAAGGACCAAATTTTATCCCATTCCATCATTACCACTGAACGTGATCCACCTTGAGCAATGATAAACTGTCGCAGTCCTTCCACAGTCATACCCCTGCGCATCACTCCTCGTACTGTCGGGAAACGCGGATCATCCCTGGAGTGCACAGTTTAACGACTATGGCTACGCTAATTTGTGATAACTCACCATCCCTCCACATGTCCTTCATTGACAAACCAAGTCAACTTCCTCTTACTCATAACAGTATTTGTCATGTTCAACCGAGCATACGACCAGATGTAAGGTTTGCGTAGTCCCAAGGCATCACAGATGAAGTAATACTGATCGTCCCTAGAAAGAAAAAATCTTCGTGAGTACGCACCAAATTATTTGTACACAAGCACCTGTCATGATATTCGGTTGTTCTAAGAGCGTGCGTAACTCCTTCTACGCTATCGACTATCGGACATGCAAAATCATAGGTAGGATAGACTCTGGAAGAAATACAATACTAAAATTTCTTTAAAATCTAGATTCGATTATTTAGGCCGTGCATACTATCCTGATTTCATGAATACAAAACGCACCCGTTCTTTCTAACTTGACCAGCCTGAACACACTCAGACAATCGACGGGACCCCTCCGCCGGACCCTCCGAAACTGCCAGAGTCGCGCCGGACCCAGTTGACCAATGAGAGAAGGGCAAATGGGCGGTCCATCGCGGTGACATCACTGGCAGGCAAATGGGAGGCTTCTCCGGCCCTGCTGCAAAGGTCCGCCATTTCTCCGGCGCGACTCTGCCAGATTTGGCGGACTCCGCGCCGGAGAAATTTGCGCGGCGCGTGTCCGCCAAATTTGGAAGAGCCGCGCCGGAGAAAATGGGAGGGGTCCGGAGCAGAAATGGGAGGCCTCCGGAGCAGAAAATGGGAGGTATCCGGAGCAGAAAATGGGAGGCATCCGGAGCAGAAAATGGGAGGTATCCGGAGCAGAAAATGGGAGGTATCCGGAGCAGAAAATGGGAGGTATCCGGAGCAGGCTGCGTATCGATTTGGCGCGTAGCAAGCAAACGTCTAACTCCACGGTGATGAGTCCTCTGTTTACGCTCTTTGTCCATATTTTAGTCGCCGTTTCTTTGATTTTGTTGTTTTTGCGCGTTTCTTTACCGTTTTTTTTCTTTTCCGCGTTGCTCTTCGTCGCGTTGGCGTTTATGTTGCTGTAAGTTCCTCGTTTTCAGGTTTATGTTTCAAATTTTCGTGCGGTTGCACTCAATCACCTTCAGTGTTTGGCTCTTTCCGACTTGCTGAGACATCGTAGACTATTGATGGAGTGGTTTTTGTGATTAATTCTGGATTTTCGAAACAATGAGGTTAGTTGCGCAACTATCTAGTGTTGTTGTGATGAAAGTATCGTCTAAATAATTCGTTTATTGCTATCTCCACCGATGAATCACTTTGCCGTTTGCGTGGTTCGCATCTCGCGTGTCTGTGTGGGATTATCATGCGGTTTTCCGCGAATTATCAATATGACTGTTTTTTACATACCATATTTTGTTTTCAGGGCAGAGGTAATGAACTGTGAAGAGCATGCATTGCATTGTGCAGCATTGCTTTCAAAATTTTCGTAATGCAGCTTTTTTACCTTCAGCTTTAGCACTTCTACTCTTTCTGTTGTTGTTGTTGATTTTGACTTCAGTTTAGTATACACTATGTTTAGACGTAACCAAACCAACTCAAGATATCTGTGTTTACTGGTATGGATCCCATTTACGATACAGAGGTTGTTTTCACCGAGAGTTTTGCGCCAAAACCAGTGCGGACATTCGTAGTGAATACTAGTAAGTCACGGCTCTACTTCTTTTCTCGAGGTCTCGGGAGTTTTGATTTTTTGATTGTCTTCAGATGCCGCTTTGCATTCCATCAATGCAAATGTTGAGCCATCTTCAGGCGTTTGCACGTTTCCCGCGAACAGTCACTTCCCTGATCGTTTTATTCTTTGGTATGTTCAATTTACACTTTATCACGAGTTATTGATTGGTTGGGCACGGAGCTCATGCGTATGCTTGCGGCAATGCTTGCGGCGTTTCGCGCATCTGTTATACAGAGGTTTTCAATCTGAGTGTCACGGTCGACGTGGTTCACCCCCTCGAGAGCCGCGTCGCATGGGTCTCTCACGTAGTACACGACCGCACCCGGTAACGCGAAGGCCTTAGCGGATGCGGCCTTGTGCCACGTGAGAGACCCATGCGACGCGGCTCTCGAGGGGGTGAACCACGTCGACCGTGACACTCGGATTGAAAGCCCCTGTGCACGAGCCGCAGTTTACCAAGGTGTGTTTATCCTCATCTAAAGTACGCAGTAAATTTTGCAGTCTATCATTTAGATCGCCTATTGCATGGCTGAAGGACAACTGGTTGTTGTCACCTTACATGCCAATAAATGTGAGTAATGTCAAGAAAGGACTGAGCTTGCTTTCCAACAACGTTTAATTCACTGCGTTTCTTTCCCAGACGATAAAGCAGAAGAAGTTGTGTTCCGTGAGGCACCAACCACCTGAAGGCATGGATAAAATGGTTTCTATCGCATTGGAGAGAGCTGCGGCTAAGGTTTGATATCTGTTTAGTCAAATTGTTTGATTTTGTTGGTGAATCCTTGTTTTTACTTTTCTTTTTTCATGATGTTAGCCTCATATCAGGGGAAGAGGACTTTTGTTTACTGGGCGTTTCAAACCACCATTTATCCTCAGAATTCAGGAGGAAGACGAGCTTGGGCTAGCTGAGTATGTGATGTCGGACGGACCCCCCCCCCCCCATGATTCTACTTTCATGCGATCACAGATTGTGAGATTTGACATGCGTTTATCGGATATTAGTGATTACGGGTTTCTAAACTTAGGTGGTCCAGAAATGGTCTCAAATCATAAGTTTGTTCTTGGAAGCCATCCAAGCATCTCAATCTCCCCCAGGTATCATTGGTATATAGCATTTCTACTTATCCTTTGTTTGAATGAATGATAGTACAGTAGAGCCGACTCCCGATGACACTTTATTTGGTGGATCCTTTACTTGCGGACTCATAGCAGCACGACTACGGCACGTGGTGAAACAGCGTCTTGATATTGCGCGGAGCTTGCTAGCATTAATTCAGCTCTACTCTGAAGACGGTGTGGGTAAAAACAGTTTTCTCAAGTTTGTGGTATTTCAATAAGATTTCAGGGCGTTACGACTATCCGATGTTTGAGTTCTCTGATCTCGAAAGGAAACTCAGCAATATCATCAATAATTATAGATTGTTTGACGATCAGCTGTCTCTGAAATTGGCAAAGTGGGCCTGAATAGACGCATGCGTGTCCCAGATATGCGAAATCTAGTGTCTCGAAATCTTTCTAGGGATAATGTGCAGGTGTCTCTATGTAGTTGGTTCTTCAAAGGAGAGGGCGTGGATTGGCTGAGTAAGGTAGCGCACATAGGACGCTTTGAAGAAGCTGACCCATACCCGGAATTCAACGTTTTTCTGGACAAAATACTCGAGGTATAATTCAATGCAGTGTCGTTCTTGTTTTGTCAAACAGATTATGTCCAGGCTGGATTACTATTTCTATCACCATATTCCGCGCAGGTTTTCTTGGCCAGATCTTTAGCATTGCATGAGCAGCAGTTTTGATGGTAGGTGTCTTTGCAAGCTATAATTTTCAAATACCACTGATTCAATTCATGTTTTTCCATTATGTCACGCAATGGACTTGGTGCATTTAGAACCTTTGCACTTTATCTGCAAGCAGTATCCCTGATGAACTTCGCCCTGTCATGACATTTTACAGTGCCACTGCATACTCTGGAATAGGAAAACCCTTGAAAGTGTGTAATACAAGCAGCTTTCTAATGACTTCAGTATATACTGGTAGCTCTTTTAGGCTATGACCAATTTTAATCTCGCCGCTAAAGGAGTAACCGATCAGAACAAGGCGCTTCTGACTGCTTTGTCACCTGTTGGCAAAACCCAAGAGATCAACCTCGGAGATTACTACGTAATGGTAAGATGTCTTTCACATATCTCAGAAAAATTTAATGGTGTTTATCAGGCTTAAGAGGCTTTTAAGGCTTTTAAGAGTCGCCGATGGTATGGGCCAACTGCGACTGCAATTTAACTGTTCCACAAACCGTTGTTTGGTTGGAAAGGTTCATTCTTCGTTACACCAGTGGGTGTGAAATGATTAACGATATAAAATGATTTTTCGAAGAAGTTTGAAAAATTTGAAATAAATGTCTTATCTCTTCGTTCTTTCTTCTATCTTCTATCCACAAACGCTAGGGGTGAGAGGGATGGGGTAAAGACGGGGTTGAGGGTCGCGCTGAACTCTTACCCGGGGGGGGGGGGGTCGTATTCGGCTGATTTGGGTGGGGTTTAGAGACAAAGTCGACAAAGTTTAGAGACAAGACGAAGTCTGCCGCAACATACTGTAATTAACCCTAATTAAGCTCCAAACCCACATGGGGTTTGGAGCTTAATTAGGGCTAATTACAGTATGCCGCGGCAGACTTGCGGAGCACAAAATCGGGGGGCTCCGGCGCACAAAATCGGGGGGCTCCGGAGCAGAAAATGGGAGGTATCCGGAGCAGAAAATGGGAGGTATCCGGAGCAGAAAATGGGAGGTATCCGCCGGAGAAATGGGAGGGCTCCGCCGGACAAATGGGAGGGCTCCGCCGGACAAATGGGAGACCCACCGCTGGGGAAACGCCGCGACCCTGCCATTTCTCCGGCGGAGGGGTCCTATCCGCTGTCTGAGCAACAAAAAGGTTGCGACCAAAGTCTCTACCATGCTTCTCCTCACCTAAGAGAATTGTGCGACAGAGCGAACATTTCGCAAGGCACAGTGATGTGGCCGAGCTGCTAGCTTGGAAAAATGAAAAGATTGCGCTTGTATTCGTGAAGTTAGAGTTATTTATTTTACAAGTAGAGTATTAGGATTGCACCTATTCTTCCACTTTTCTCTTCTAATGTTAAGATGTGAATGAACTCACTTATACTTTGATCCAGTACGGACGTGTTCCTCAGGTTTACAACTAAACACCGACTGTCAATCGAACCACCGCAGGGGCATAGCTACTAGCTTACCGGTATATGGTGGGGTCCCTCATTGCTCCGTTATTTGACTGCATGTCGATCTTCATACGAACACAACACTGCGTTCCTCTTTCTGTACCTTTTTTCATTTCCTCCCATAAAGCAAGATTTGTTTCCAGAGCTTAATTGCATGTCTCAATATATAGCAAAAGCGAAGCCACCTAAATGTTTACGGCGGCTTCCTCAATCATGGAAAATTACTGTCGAAAGCAGAACTGCTAATTCACAAACAGAAATGTTCAACGACAGCCGAGTATTTCCAAGTGAAATCACAAGTACATCATAATAGTGCATACTTCCAACATAATTAGCATAAGTTATCGCTTCGTTCCAACATGTGTCTTCCTTCTACAACCGACTTTCAGTGCTGCATTTACTTCACAATTTTGCAAAACTGATGCAGTTTTGTATGAAGTTGATGTAGCTTGAGAACTTCCCAACCCGATCAAGTGCACACTTTGATGTTGAAGATTAAAACGAAACGCGAGGACGCCACAAAGTTCACATAGTAAAAGCATAGTATAGTGAAACACCTCGATGCATGCAATTATGAAATTTTTCAAAGAGAGCTATTCTATCCAACCTAACAATCGCATAAAGAACCTACATGCATTCCTGTTTTTGCTTTCTTTACGCTCCTCACGCTCTTTGCGCATGGTTTCAGTATCCGTGTCGTCGACGTAAGCCTTTCCCTCTCTCAGCAACTTTTCACACATTTCCAGCATTTTCTCAAAGTGATCTGATGAATGAGTCCAACGATCAGGCTTCACATTCAGCATGGCAAGATCTTCTTTTATGACCTCAAAACCAAATCTCACCGACTGAACTTTACCAAACTTATCATGGTGTCGCCCTACTTGCTCGAAATGTGCATTTTCCTTGGCAGGATTGGTATCATCGAAACGCATGATCAACTGCCCATCGAAAGCTTGTTGGTAGTACTGGTTTAACAACGCAGCTTTTGCATGACCAATGTGTAGGTACCTAAGCATGGAAAGTCATAAATAGGCCCTCACAAAAAAAGTGTCTGATATTACCCGCTTGCCTCAGGTGGAAAACGTACAACAACTTTTCCTTTTTCAGCTCCAGGGAGTTCGACAAACTTGCCTTCATCCTTCTGCTTCTCCTTTGTTTGTTGCTGCAAACAAACGAAACTTTCTGACCTATTAAAGTTCGAGCGCACATACTTTTACATTATCAGTAGCATACTTTCCGACCATTTGATGAGCAGCTACGAAGCGTCGATCTTTGACGACTGCATCGAATAGATTGGAATACTTCTTTTGTAACTATAAAAGTCAAACTGATTGACAAATGTCCTACTATATTTTCAAATCAGAATGCATTGGTGAATGGAGATTTCGGAGCTTGTTGGTATATCTCCAGTCACAAGCAAAATAGTATATCTTGTCTTATAGATTGCCGAGGGTGCGGAGGGTGCAGATTGTCTACAAGGCTAGCGTGTTTTCGTAGGGATACAGGGGGTGGTAAATATCGTGTCTCCTCGAGGAAGGCGTCCAAAAGGGGTGCGGTTCTTAAGTGCAAAAAGGCTATAGTTGGGAAGGGGCCGACACTCTCGTAAGGTTGCTAACAGTACCCCCCCCCCCCCTTCTTTCGCAAGTTTGAACTCTGCCGGTATGAATGATTCGGAACTCGCTGTCTAGCGTAGACATGCTTTAATAGTTCCTCAACGTTTACCCTTCGACTGCTCACATTTTCATTTTCCTGCTTAAGTTCTTGGCTGCCCATAATTAGTTAAAGTTCATAGCTGGCATAGTTGGTGAGAATTGATGAGGACATTTCTCTGTTCTTGAAATAAGTTGGTAAGTCGTAAGGCTATTCTTATAGGTCTCTGCAATCATTTCTCACAACTCCAGTCTGTTCGCTGTTCATTGGGCATATCTTTCAATGCTTAATCTGTTCATAGGGCTCTTTCTTGATTTGTAGGTGCCAGTAAGGCAGTTCTACTAAAAATATTGATCTGTAAGCTCCCCTGAGGAGTTTTTTCGACAATTATCCAGTTAGCGGTTATTTGTAGGGTGGTTCCTTCTCAAAGTATCGGTCCGCAAGGGGAACATTTCATTTTCATATTTATAGTTCTAAAGGTGGACCATAAAGCGCTTTTTTTCAGATATGAATTTGAAGAGGAGCGGAAGGGCTCGTAGAATCGTCATACAATTATCGTTCCATAAGCTTCTCATCAGGCACTTTTTAGGCTCGTACTTGTTTCTCAAAATGCTGATGTATAAGCGACTAGGGCACCTCCTAAAATTGTCGGTCTGTGTGCGGCGCGTAGAGGAGTTACTTGTGAAAGTTGGTTTGTATGAGGCGTAGATATACTATAACCTGTTCTAATTATTTTTTCTCTCTCAGACTAATTCATAAGGGACTCGGAAAGCGCTCTTTCTCAAATATCGGTCTTTGAACGGCTGCAATTTTTTTCGAGATATTGGTTTGAGGGTTTCCAGCTCAAGTCTTGATATATTGGTCTGTGAGCGCCCATAGAGCGGTTATTTCCCAAAATGCTGCAAGAGGCCCATGGAGCGATTCTTTACAAATTATCGTTGGCAAGCCCCCCCCCCCCCTCCCCGCTCGGCCGCTCCTTTTAGAAATTATCGATTTGCAGCGGCACATAGAGCAATTTTTCTTGAAATATTGGTCTGTAAAATCCCATAAGGCAGTCCTTTCTCAAATTATGGTTTGTAGGTGGCCCATAGAGCAGTTTTATCACAAAATATTGGTTGTATATAGGTTCCAAGGGCGGTTCCTCCTCAAAATACCATTGTGTAGGCCTCTAACAATAAATAGCTGGCAGCTTCTTTCTCAAGACTTCGGTCTTTGGCTGTCCATAGAGCAGATTATACGTGAGTGCCTCGTAGGGCAATACAGTTTGTAGGGGCTGTAGATCTGTAATCTGGAATATCTGCTGATCCCCCATAGGGCAGGGCTTCCTGTAATTATCGGTCTGTGGGGGAAGGAAGAGGGGGAGGGTAAGATAGCCTTTTCTCAGAATATCGGTCTTACAAGGGAAGTGTCAGAACTCGCAGTGGCCTTTTGACATGAAATAAGTATCATCTGAAGCAGCTTGAAATGCTGATTCCAAAGCAGCCTTTCTTAGCTGCAGAACTAATCTAGGACGAGAGTTATTGAATTTAATTTGCGGGAAATTTACAACGCTGAGAATAGCCAAAAATTAAAGCGAACATTTTTTCGGGCTCAAACATAGATGAAACAGTCCAACAATGTTTAACGTAATCCTACGCCTTCATCAAAGTCATGCTGTGGTGCTTAAACAAGCAATTGAAAGGTTCCCGTGATCACAGAGTACTTCAAACAGTGTAAAATTTAATGTTTAAAATGCCCATAACTCGCGACCCAGATCAGTTCTGCAGCTAAGAAAGTTTGTTTTGGAATCAGCATTTAAAGCTGCTTAAGATGGTACCCATCCCATGTCAAAAGGCCACTGCGACTTCTGACACTTCCCTTGTTAGGGCAGTCTCAGCACGGTTCTTTCTCCAGTAGGGTTTGTTGGGAGAGGAACGACGGAGGAAGGGGAAGGGGGTTCTTGTAAACCTCGGTCTGTAGGGGACTGTGAGTAACTTCTCAAAACATCGGTCTGTTAGTGGCCTATAGGGCATTTTCTTTCTATAACTACCACTCTGCAGCGGCGCATAGGGCAGTTATATTCTCTAATATATCGATGGTAGTTACGTAAAGATATGTCTCAAGCAGCTCATAGCTTCTGTTGTTTCAAAATACCAGCTTGTGCTACACATAGGGCGAGCGACTGCTTCTTGCAATAATAGACTTTGAGCGGCTCTTAGGACAATTTTTGAAAGTTGGTTTGAAGATTTGAAGGACAATTTCTTCTTGATATCAATCTGTGTGCGTCCATAGGGCAACCTTTTCTGGAAAAGGTCCGTAAGCGGCTCGTAGGATCATTCTACATGAGCAGTTCTTTTTTGAAAATATCTTTTTTGAAAAATACCAGTCTGTAAGCAGCCCACAGTGTAGTCTTGTCAAAATAAGGGTCTGTAAGCGGCCCATAGGGCATTTCCTTCTAATGACTAATTACCGTCCGTGGGCGGACCATAGGGCAATTTTTCCGTCTGTTAGCAGCTTAAAGGCAGTGTCTCACCAAAGTTGAAGTCGCGGGGATCTTTACATATTCTATTATAGGGACCTCTAGATAGGCCATTGCAACAAGTCCCACTCAATTTTTGACCCCCTCTACGCTGAGAAAAATTCGCTCAAAGTGGTACGCGGAGAGCCAGTTGGTACGCGCGGACGACTCCTTCGGTCTCCCCCCCCCCTTACGCGTTTGAACATGTCCCTCCACTTGGCATCCACCTCCCCTCTGTTGCTGCCACTGTGGCTGAGGCTGAATTTGGAAGGTACAACTCGTCCACGTTGCTTCCGCGGGGCCTCCAGAAAACGGGGTTTTTGGGAACTTCGTGCGATTTTAAGCCCATACAGTGCTAGACAGGGTCCGACAGGCTTGCAAAATGCAAAAATTTCGGCAACTAAATTTTGGTGAGACACTGCCTTTAAAAGCTTCCCGCAATATTCGATTTGTAGGGGGGGGGATTGTATGGCAGACTTATCCCAGAATACGATATCATTTGTAGGGGTATGAAGGGCACTATTTTCTCAGATTACCGCTCTGTAGGAGGCCTGTAGGAAAGTTTTTCTTGAAGTATTCTTCTCCAGGATCGTGGGGCAGCTCTCACATATACCGCTCTGAAGGCGCGGAGCAGTACGTATTTGCAAAAAGTGGATTATAGGCGACGCATAAGGCATGAGAATACAATGCTTGTTTTCGCTGCCGGAATTTTTCGGGAACTGAGGTACTTTCTGAGTGTTTAGCTGAGTGTAGACTACATCGTCGCTTTGAGAGTCGACTGCTTGGTGACTCTGTTGAGATTGGTGCAAACATATGACCCAAAGAAAATTTTTAGAAAAGAGTCAAAAGGTATCGAATAATCAGCAAAGAGGATTCTCACAATCAAAAGAGTCAAAAGTCATTTATTACTCGGTTTCAGTTGCCCAGAACCCTAAAAAGGTATAAAACGTAGAGGTTATTGTGGTGATGACTATATGTACCCTAGCATACTTGCAAGCGGCCCTTAGGGCGCTAGTACAAAGCTGAAGGTCTGTATATCTGTCTGTGTGTAGGTATGTTCGCAATATAGATTCTTCTTTCTAACCAATACTTCGGGTTGGGAGGCGTGTCGTAGGCTACTTTTCGTTACTGATCGATTTCGATCTTTTCTTTTCAAGCTGCGAGGTTGGGAGCTGGCACAGGGTAGGGGGGTAAGCGAGCATGCTGATAATATGATAATTGTTTGTACTGACAGGGCCGGCGAAGCCGAGTATGCCAACTAGTATCTACATGAAAAAGACCACCAAGAAGTTCAAGCTTTTAAAAAAAGAACAACATTGCTTTGGAAGTTAGCGACAGTGATACTTTCCATGTGCTACAAAACTTGGTTGCAAGCCGAAAAAAACACAACCGATAACTCTGCGTTGCTCGTGCACCCCTTTTAAGGAGTAAAGGCCAAGAGCAAAATGAACTTTTTTCATGTCAGTATCAAACGATGCTTGAAAAAAAAAACGTCAAACAGTACAGACCGGTCTAACGATTTTCAGTAAGGTAATAACAACGCATATGTTTGCGCAGCCGTTTTCAGCCAGGTGCAACGCTGACTCATGTGCAGACAGAGAGCATAATGTGATGCTTCAAAGCAGTCATCTAATAGGAATGAACTGCTATAGGCTGTCCGCGCAGGGCGCAGAGAGTGTGTAAGGTGCGTATTGCGTGTCACTCCTCTTTCCTCGTGCACTCTCGCCGCCTTTTTTCTCTGCGTTTCTTTCAGTCGTAAACTGTCTTCAAGTACGCAACAGCGTTGCTCTCCGTGCGCAGCGCGGACGGCCTATAAGAGACCCGTCATACTTCGCCGAAAAAAACCCAAAAGAGCCCGAAAGCGCCAGAACGCCCACTTCACGAGCGCGCCTTTTGGAGCTGGAGCATTAGTTTCGGAAACATGTTGGATACTAGAACAACTAGGTTTGAAGAATAATCAAGTGAAAGGACCTCCTTGCAAACACAACACACATGCCCTAGCGCCAAAACCTGCGAGGGGGCGTTCCGGCTCTTTCTGGCGCTTTCGAGTTTTTGGACTTTTTCGGGCTTTTTCGGGTGCTTTTTCGGCTAAGTATGACGGGCTCCTGAGATGTATGGGTGACTCAAAGATGTGGATAGACTATAATCCCAAATTTATGTCCGTGACAAGAAAAAAGCTGTTTAACCTAGACAGCGGAATTCTCCTCGCTAGATGTTATGAATAATATTATTGAAGCGACTAAGCATATAATTTTTCTGCATTCCTAACTGTATTTGCGAAAAGAAGCAACGGCAAAAAATCTCGATGGAAAAGATTACCCCGCAGGTGACAAAAGAACGACGAAATTTTTCAAAAGACACACTCGCAACTTGTGAATGCACAAGCAATAAGTCGTTGCCTGACCATCTTTACGGCTAAACCGGACGCACACATTCATAGTGTATAGTCTACACGGGTTCCACCGAGATTACTATCATTCTACATGTTGATTCCTCAAGCCATTCTAGTTCCTAGTGGATATAAGCGTCTAAATACATTCTGATCAAAACCGAGAGCAATCATTTGTATGCACCCAACATTTTTGAACTAAATAAGTCTCCTCTTACCTCTGGATTTTTGGTTATCAAGCTCCACAATGCCACATCTGCTATAGTGACACGCCCTTCGAATAGCGTCCCACTTTTGCCCAAATGTACTCCAGATAAAACTTCTTCGTCGATAAGAAATCCATCGACTACGCGTTCGCACAATGTCAATACTTCATCAATCTAAAAAGAGTTGTGGAAATGTTCCAACGTTAACGACAATCAGTAAATCAGTAAACCTTGGCTGATTCGAAACATGTAGTTCCGGTAAAGTCGGGTAAGCCAATGCTCTGAGCCACCAATCTTGCGATACTGATGTCGTTGGCAATGACGAAGCCATCACTAAATGATTAGATTGCAAGCATGGCTCATTGGCAATAGATTGAAGCCTTGTCAGGTTTGGATAATGTTAATTAGTAAACGCCCATGCCTAACATAGCCTCAATACTACCGTTCCTATCCAAGCGCCAAATCCTGAAAACTCACTTTAACCCAACCGCTGATGCCTATGAACGAAAGTAGGCAAGGCTGACGATATTTCGGAGCCGTGCTTTCAAGATCTGGCGCGTGAATTAGAGGCTAAATTAGGGCTACGATGTACTTGGAGGTCTATTACCCAACAGCACCAAATTCCGACAGGAGTCCATTTTGCCGAGCCACGTCTTTAAGGAAAATTCACTACTATATAGTGCTAGGTGTCAACAATATGGGCATACACATTCAGTCCCGGTTCTTCTTTGTCGCTGTGATTGATGGAAAGCTCAATGTTGCATTTGCCTGCAGCCAAAGCGATAATTGTTGCATAGGGATAGTCGCCTGGCTTGGCATTTATGACGAGATGGTGTTGCACCGCTACCATTTTACCCTGCAGAAATGAACTTCTTTTCTCATGATATTTGAGAGTGAAAAGATACGTTCGTCAAATGATTCAAAAAGTGGTTGGAATGGCAGCTGCCGAAAGATAAAAGACAGACGAACGACCAAAGCGGGCCATATGGACAGTTTTGCGCAGACGTACGTAATTGTGCGTATCTCAAATGTATGTATTGCAGACCTAAAGGTTACGGATTACACAGATTCAAACGTTGCTTTTCTTTTCTTTCGCTATAAAAAAAACAACTGTACTCTGTGGTAAAAATGTCTAGCCTATGCCATCTGTGGAATAAAATTATGGGCTTGTCATGCCCTACTTGTGATTCGTCTGTTTCTCTGCATTTTATTACTCCAGTTATCTTTGGAGCGCGGAAACTTTTGGCTTAACAACGTAACGCTCCAAAAGTGAAGATCTTCTAACACTTTTCTCGTTAAGTTATCGACTAATCACCGCTTGCGCCAGTAACTGGAAAGAGGATGTGCATGTCGGCTTTACTCAGACTTTCGTTGCGTACCAGCGGCGTACCTAAATGGCTTTGCGTACCAGCGGAGTGCGATTAACGTACCAACGGCGTTACTTAATGCGCCCTACCAGCGGCGTACCGTCATTTGGCGAGCGGCGTTTTATCAACCCAAGCAAGCGAGCGGCGTCCCATCACATTACCCCACGCTGCAAGCGTAAGCCGTACCCGTATGGGATACGACGCAGTGGTTGGGCCGCCTCAGCATTTTAGTGGTTAACTAACACTTCTCGGCACTTGAGCAAGGAATAAGATTGAGTTGTTGTTCTTATTGAGTGATCTGATAACACCTCAGCTGGGTGTTGTAGGGGTGGCCCACAATCCCCCGATTTCGATTCAATGAAGTTCATCGATCGAAATAGCAGGAAATTTTGCGCTGATTTCGGCTTCATAAAATATGACGATATAGCAATTTTCAAACCAACTAATGCTGCAATTAGTACGTAATCAAAAATCGGGTGAACATGCGGTCCGAAGGCGTACCCTCTTGGCGTACCAGCGGCGTACCATTCTCCTGCCAGCGGAGTTCCACAGCGTACCAGCGGCGTGCGACTGCCCTACCAGCGGCGTTCGCGTGCTGCCCTCAGAGGACAGTCGAACGCCGCTGGTACGCAACGAAAGTCGGAGTAGTACGGCCATCATTGTAAAGGAGGGAAATTCCGCGCTTTTAAAGGAAGTCATAGAAATCCTGAATCTCAGAACCACAGGATAGTATGCCACCCCCCCCCCCCCTTCTCCCTTTAGACTCCTTCCCTGCCAGTTGCGGCTGGCAAAATCGACATTCTGAAAAGGCGCAAACCACCAACTGACAAGCGCGAAGTCGGAAGCCAAAAGCATAATTGGAGCCTGAAAACCGCTTTGAGAGTGGCCGACATTCAGCCCTCTCAGCGGTGAGTGTCAACCATCTAATGCACGACGAAAATCATGCAAGGGTCGCAGCACTTATCGTACTCCATCGATATTCCTTCTCTGAAATCCCCTTTCGTACTCTTCTATCTCCATAGTGTAGATTGCCCCTCTTAAGTTTAGTCTGAATGAAAAGGAATATCTGAGGCTTCACTGCTGACCTGTTTAGGCAGTGTCCGGGCAAAAACTCGACTTTGATTTGTGCTTTTTCGGGCCTATTCGCTATGCTGAATCCGAAAATCCACACTAGAAAGCGCGAAAACGGCAAAAAACGGCTATAACACAGGACGGAAATCAGCAGGTGGGCGGAGTCTTCCCCACTGTGAATTCACACTCCCAGCTTCCGGAGCGGTCTTCTCGATTTCGCTATCCGTCCTAACATCCCTGCCGGCCTAATGCGAACCATTGACTTAAAATCGGAAGCGAGAGGGTCGCTCTGGAAGCTGGGAGTGTGAATTCACAGTGGGGAAGACCCCGCCCACTTGCTGATTTCCCTCCTGCGTTAGAGCCGCTTCTCGCCGTTTTCGCGCTCTCCAATGTGCATTTTCGGATTCAGCGTAGCGAATAGACCCGGGTAAGCACAAAATCTCAAAATCTTTTTGCACGGAAACTGCCTTTAAGAGTAGATCAAAAGCCGGAAAGCCAGAATTGTGTCGAAGAAGAGAAATTTCACTGTGCCCAAATTGTGTTCCGCAAGAAAGCTAGAAATAGCAAAAATTGTAGGCTGAAAATCTGCCATCATGATCGAACAGATTCGACGAGCTCTTTGGAAACTCCAAGAAATGTGGCTAGAACCACATACCAAAAAATTTTTCTGGGGTGTTTCAGATTTAATGCGATACTCCAAAGGGGCTAGGCTGCAAATTCCCTTTGAACAGATTTAGAGTTAAGTATTTTAAAATATTTTTTCAGTTATTTACATGTAAAGACAAACTATCTGCCCATGTAAACCACTATCAAAAATCTCGATACTTATTCTCGGCCCCCTTCGGTCTGCGGCTTATCTTTTAATCCAAACACTTTTTTTTTTTCTGACTCAGTATGTTGCCCCGCATTTGAGGGTGATGGGAGAAGGAGCGGGGAAAATTTAGCTGACGGCTGTAGAATTTTAGTACAATTTTGCACGGATGTGCCTTCAAGGTAAGGCATATGCTTTCGTTCCAGTCCAACATTCGAACGATATTGTCGCGTCTTTAGTACTTCTAGCAGACCAGAAAGCTTCGAAATAGAAGGAATATTTAGGACTGCCATGTTAGATCTGCTGTCCAAGATAGTCGGTGCTGGCCTGGGTATTGGCCTGGTCTCCTATACAGGTTCATCATCCGATCTCTTTCTGCAGCTTCACTACTGTTCGATAGCCTTAACACAAAAGAAGAAAGTCCTTTTAATTAGCAGCAATTTGAATGAATCACAATATAGGTAAGTTTGATCACGGAGTCTTCAGACATTTTCTATCTTTGAATTTTCAGGCAGATTTTTGCTAAATTGGCTATACGCTGGATACCCACGTTGATCTCTGTGTTGGAGTTGGATAGCTTCTTCGGATCCGACCTATGCGTCGATGTTGATAGATTGGAAGAGGAATTGATTAAGGTGCACGCATTAAGCTTTTTTGAAAAACCTAGAAATGCGGCACCCTCACCAATCCACGTCATGTTGAGGTGGAATGCGTACGGTAGAAAAGACCAATACGTATTGAAAACGACTGTACCCTTTGATTCAACCGGCTTCGCGGCTAGAAGGCGGGCTTCGTGACCTAATGAGGCTAAGTAATGATCAGAGAGACGCGCGCGTAGGAAACAGACTGCGTCGCGGGCACGAGCGGCCTTAAAGGCAGCGTCCAGGCAAATCTGGACAATTGGGGTTCTGATGTGGGAAGTGATTTTGGGGCCCTAACTAAGACACTGCCCAAGTGGCAGCTAAAATGGTGAACTTACAGTTGAGATATTCGCCTCCAAACTGGACCCCAGGATCATTGGCATGGATTCATGGCGCGACAGGCATGGGTCCTCGCGCGCAACTGATGTGTCGCGCCATGAATCCATGCGAATACGATCCCGGGGTCCAGTTTAGAGGCGTATATCTCAACTGGAAGCTTACCATTTGGGCTGCCGCTTGGACACTGTTTTACTTAGGGCCCCAAAATTACCCTCCAAGTGAGATTAGTAACGAAGACCCGCCTTCCAGCCTCGAAGCCAGTTGAATTGAATTTACCCTTTGATTCAAGCAGATTGGCGGCTGGAAGGGCTCGCACTCGCGACGCAGTCAGCGTCTCTCTCTCTCTCTCTCAGTCAGCGTCTCTCTGCTCTCAGATTCTTTAGCCTTTAGGCCTCGAAGCCCCGCCTCCCAGCCGCCAATCCCGTTGAATCCAAGATTAAGTCAATTAGTCTCTCGCTCAATATAGGTCTTCATGATGTCCGTTAAGCAACCGCATCCCGACTTGGAATTTGACTATAATTATGTTTTTCGAACTACCGTTGCTCTCATAAAAGAATCAGGTTAACAAATCCTAGCTCTAAGCACATCATAAAGCTTACAAATTCCAAACTGGCGAAGTAATCCACACAAGCAAACTCACGTTGTAAAGTCGTATCCCATTTCAGAAGTTCCCACACTTGCGAATAAGGAAAAAAAAGTTTGATTCTAACAAATGAACGCGAGTTAGACCCGTTTTCTATGGACTGAAAATTCTCCATGAAGTGATGTTCTGAATGATCAAATATTAGGTTGTCCCGAAAGTTTTGTCGGTTTTTTCAAACCACTATAAAACCATGCACAATGAAAACCTGAATGAGTTTCAACATGCATTCAATGCAGTTTTTCCTTCTCTTTCTTATGGTTACATTCAGGAGCCAAGATCCTGTATGGTTTTTTTGGTAATTGCCACATTTGCCCTTCACTCGTCATTTTTATCTGCTCAAAGTTAGGCTAATTTTTAAAAATTCCATTCCAAAGTTTTGGAAAGGTCTAAATATGGTACAAATAGAACAATTCTCGGGCTATACGGTAATATTTTTAGATTCTCCTGAATTGCTGTTTCTAGCTTGATAGAATTATTTTTCCGGAGGTCTCGATTTCTGGCAAAACCATGGAATACGCAACTGCGGCAAAAACATGAAAGCTTTTGAAATTTTTGCGAATTGAAACTTGACTGCTAATAAACATTATTTAGCAACATAAGCAAGTTTGATTTGCCTTGAAAAATCAGCTTTTTGAAATTTTCGGTAATTTTACGTGGTAGACGTAATCAAAAAACCGTGGTTTTTTGAATAAATAATTATTTAGGACTTGATAAACGAGAACCATGTAATCTAAAATAAGTATAATGTAGCCGAAGAATGGCTCTACATAACAGTTATTAGCGCTTTTCGAAAGTAGCAGAAGAAAAATTTTAAAATTCAGAAAAGATTTGGTGTTACTGTTGAGCTGCTCAAAAAGCCATGGTGATAACATTGCGAAGACAGGGTAGATCAGAGAGCAAATATAGCTGTAGGAAAGAGGATGAAAATCTGAATCAAATGATACTTAGACCTTCCATAAATTGGTGTTCTGTGGGTTTTAGTGAGCGGTGGAAAAAACCGACAAAACTTTCGGGACAACCTAATATAATAAAATCACGAAGTTCAGATGACGGCGGAGTGTACTATACTGCTCAATCTGTTTTAAAAAGTTGTCTGTTGCATTCCGGCGCACAACAGCCGCGTTTGCAATGGTGGAACCTCGACTGAAGCTTATTTCGTACTAACATTTTTATCATGGGAAACATAGGAAAAATGGGAAAAGCCAACTGGCTTTGATGAAGACGGTAGCAGTTTTAGGCATTTTCTGCGTGACTATACATACACGCCAATTTTTCTTCATTTCCGGAGGAGGAGAAAAGAGTGTTGATTCCAAACGTGGATAGCAAACTTGTGATTCCTCGACATTCTTACTGTAATGTGCTATGCATTAGATTTCTAACCTTTCTCGGCATTACCATCATCTCATACAACAAGCTAGCAATATTGCAGCTTCTCGATTCCGACTCTGCCCCGTCTCTACTAATTTTCGATGACGCTAGTGTATTGGAAAGGATCGGCATGAAATCTTCGGCAGTCGTATGCCTTTTACACAGCCTCTATAATCGGTAATTCCTCGTTCATCTCTGCATATTACTGTCCTGAATTTTTAGGCTACCAGCGGATGGTCTCTTGCTGGCATCTTTTTCGATGAGAACCAAAGCTTTCTACGCAATGGATAGCAAAGGAGACTTCGTAATAGACGTCAGTCCTATTGGATTAGGCTTTGGGAAAGACGTTAATGGAAAAGTCAGCTAATTTCGCAATGTAAAAGTCTGTGTAAAGATCATTTTTACAGATGAAGATTACTGTGTGGAGGACAGATACGATACCAAATGTCACGGAACTGCTGTACACCACTGGTGACCGTTCCATCAAATGTTTTTATCCCGGAGCAAAATCCTTCATGGCAATGTAGATAAATGCTTAATATATTCTGTATCCTTTGCGATGATTTGAATGAAAGCTCACATTCTTATACACTCAGTAGTCACGACATATTTATGTAGTAAAATTCTAGTTTTGTTTTTTGAACAACAAGTATAATTGATCTTAAATAACGTTTAACAGAACAAAAAAAGGAGGAAAAAATCTTGGAAAGTATCATCGGCTCCACGATTCATGTAGAGGCGGAGTCGTGGCAGCTAAAAGCGTGATGTTTTTGATAGCGAGAGAGTACGAAAAAGAATGCTAAGTGAACCGAAAATTCTGTCGCACCACTTCCTATTACGATGTTTTTGCTTGACTATAATTTTATTGAGAAGAGCAAATCAGGCATTTTCTCGAAGCGCACCTTGGCTGCTTACTAAGCTCTGAATGTAGAGATAAAATTGGGAAAGGGAAACACTTCAATTTCGGAATTTTGAAGCATTTCAAAAATTCCAAATCTGTGCCATGAAATCCAAAACAGCCGGTCTCCTACGTTTTTTGATTTCCTCTTTCTAACTTAGCAAAATTTGGGCTGATCGAGCCCATCTCAAAGAAATTTATGACTTTCGGGAAAAAATGCCAAATAGTCAGTTTCTTTAAAAAACTGTTTTCTGGGCATTTTTTCTCAAAAAATCATAACTTCTCAAAGAACAGCTCGATCGGCGCCAGTTTGATCACCTAGAAAATGGGAGTTAGAAAATCTGAGATGCCGGCTGTTCTGGATTTTATGACACGTTTTGGAATTTTGAGCGGTGTTGCCTCAAAAATTCGAACCTGAAGTGATTTCCTTTCAATGTTTTTATCTCTGCGACAAGAGCACAGAAGAGGGCATGCAAAGTGCCGTTAAAAGGTACATGAGTTACCCTTTCTAGGGGTGTATGTCAAGAGGCGCGATTTTTATTGCCAGATGGACACCAAAAAGCACATAATAAGCGTTCTATAACATTCTAGAAGTAGGTATTTGAATTTCACAATCACCTAGATATACTGGATAGTTGCTTGGGTTGCTCAAGCTAGCTAGGTCGGATTCAATCCAAAACAGCAATTTTGAAGGTCAGAAATCCATGAAAATGCAGCTAGGAACATCTGTTTTACCGTGCATGACTATCTCGACAAATGAAGCTACGATTTTTTAAAAATGGTGCGAAAGAATTTTTGGTTCAACTCAATATAACGGATAATGAGAGGTTTATTTGTTCTAAATGTCCCAAGCAGAAAACTTCGTGACCGTTTCTACGTACTCGAGGATGCTGGATGACTGGAAAGATGAGGTTCAAGCTGGAACTAGCAATACAATGGCTACCATTTGCTTGATACAAGCAGATCGGAGTTCTGTGAGGAGCGTGAAGTTTAAAAATTGCCTGAACGACAATAATTTACTTCTCAAAGACTGTGTAATTTGCAGAGCTGTGCACTGCTGCACTTCCCAAGTGCACCCTCTTCTTGACTTTCTGCGTTTTGTATATAAAGCTCAGTGTTGATTGCGTGTCTGGCGGATGTTTTATGTACGCGCACAAGAATGAAAATCGGTATCAGTCCTAGCATGTATTTAAAAATGACAAATGCGACTTTTTAGCGATTCGTAGAGCTGTTTTTTTCTCTCAAGATTGCAATAATTGAAAAAACCTTTGTAACGTTACATGAACGAAGTTTAAGAGTCTGCTACGCGCTGAACCCAGTGAAGTACAAAGAAAGGAGCGCTACTTTTAGCAGATGGCTCGAAATGCTTTCGGAGTGAGTGCATTCCAAAAATTTTGTTGTGACTGAAGCGCCAGTTAACTCCTACCAAAGCTACGAGGTAAATCAAGCTTTTCCGAAAGTTATTTCGTCTGACGCTTATGATCTTTGCGAACCCCTTACGTTTTCTGTACCAAGCTCCAGCACAGATATGAAAGTCCAACTGCTGGGCCTGGTGAGTTAAGGTAGGTGCCAGAGTAAGCGAATATTTTGTTCAGGTTGGGGTCCCCTGCAGAATTGACGTCTCTCACCATGCTGGCGTCAATCCAAGTGACGTCAATTCTGCACGGGACCCCAACTTGAACAAAATATTCGCTTACTCTGGCACCTACTCAGACACTCGCTGCGGCGGCGGGCGCGCCATAATAGCGCTACAGTGCGAGCGGCGCGCCCTATTTGAGGCCGCCGTGCGAGCGGCGCGCCACAGTTGAGGCTGCAGTGCGAGCGGCGCGCCATCGTTCGCAACCGGCGAGCGGCGCGCCCTATTACGGCCGCCGGCGCGAATATTCGACACTCGGCGCGGGGCGCGCGCGCCACTATAACATTGTATTGCGAACGGCGCGCCCTAGTTGAGAGTGCGAGCGGCGCGCAATCTATCAGTGAGTGGCGTGCCATGATATCTTCCGCATTTTCACACGCTGTAAGCACAAGCGATACCTGCGTGAAGTACGACGCAGTGTTTTGGGTGCTTTATCGCCAATTCATTAAGGTTATCGCTGTTCCGTAATGAAGTTGTCTCATTAACACAAGTGGGATTCTTCTAGTTCTTCCATTGAGACTCAGTCCCCATAAGCACCTCGAGTAGGTGCCGAGTTTGAATTCAAGTTTGGGAATTTGAATTTTTGAATTTTTGAAATTTGAATTTTCAAATTTCAAAAATTTGGAAACTTTGGAAACTTCAAGTTCATATTTGAAATTGAAGCCATTGTTTGCCTGAAATTGAAGGTTGTCATCAGGTCCACCACAGATTCACCGTGATTCGCAGTGCTTCAAATGCAAATGGCAATTTTCATACCGTGCGAGCGGCGTGCCATTATCGTATGGCGCGCGTCCCATCTACTCACGGCGCGCGTACCATTTACTCGCGGCGCGCGTGCCATCTACTCGCGGCGCGCGCGCTATTTGACGGCCGGCGGCGGGCGACATGAGGGACCGCACGCATAAGACGCGCGCGCCGCCGCAGCGAGTGTCTGAGTACCTAACCGACCGTGGTATCGTTTAGACGTCAAAAATTAGTTCTGTCTGTAAATTACACAGCCTCCGCGTTAAATGACACCTAAGTCAAGAAATAAGAATTGTGTATTTTTGCTTTTAGTTTCGTCTAGCTGACGAACTCCTTGCTGATTTCTTATTTGGCGGGCGTGAGAACTACGTGTTTATGATCTCAACTTTGCAATAGAATTACTTTCATAATTCTGTAAGTGCCATGCTATAAGTGACTGCAAGGATGATACTGGCTCCGTGTGCCAAGTTTCGGAAAGTCTGATATTGAGTAGCTGTGCACCGTGGAGCAGGGGCTAAGCTGCTTCGCTCTAAACATGACTAGTGCGCAAATCTGCTCGGCCGTTGAAATGCAGCGGTTATGAATTTCTCATATTTTATCGTGTTGTGAATTCTAAGCTTATACCTATAGATAGTACATGTAGCAATTTGAAGTTCGCTGTGTTTCTATCTATAGCCTGTTTCGTATCTGTATGCGTGCCACCTTGCTTTTTCCGATCATCGTGTTCGGTGTGGCTTTTCGGTGTTATTGATAAGTGGCCTCTTCATAAGTAAGGTCCATGCTTCTGTTTTAGGTATCCAGCTCCGTTCGGAGCTTAATCGAAATGAGCAATCGCAGACGGCATGCTAGCGATGGTAGGCTGCCATTCACCTTAGCGCAAGCTATGAAGCGCTATGAATCAACTCTGCATTTTAGATTACGACATCGACGCTAAAAGACACCGCGGTCTGCCCGAATACGATGAAGTAGAGCGTAGGCTCCAAACCCTCATCATCAGAGTCGACGAGAGCGTGAGTTATTTGTGCACATTGTTCATATCATTCCTTTTTGTTTCCAGAGTGCCAACTCTTCATTAGAGAGCAATTTGGAAAGTCTCTGCACTCTACTAGAGGCAGATTTGGATAAATATCGCACAAAAATCATAGAAATCATCACTTTATGGTGGGTTGGGATTTAATACATGCTTGACTTATATGACTTGGTTTTAGCGTGTGTCAGTTGCCAGACAAAGTAACGGTGTACTCCACATTAGTTGGTCTTCTGAATGCAAAAAATTTCAACTTTGGTGGAGAGGTAAAAGTCTTTGCGCTTCCCAGCATGAAGAGAGTGTGTTGAATGAATATGTGTGATTTCAGATAGTCGAAAAGCTGGTCTCTGACTTACAGGACAAGCTCGAAACCGAAGATTTCGAACATGCAATGTATATAGTAAGTGCACTCCACACGTCTACACAACGTCAACACTTTCTGCTTCAGATCACGTTTTTATGCGATCTCGGTAACAGTCGGGTTCTTACTTTGAGTTCTATTATTGAATTCCTTGAAGGATTGATGCAGTCAGCATTTGAGGAAAATGTGCCTCAGGTACTTGATACGATTCTTCTTGTCATGGATACCAAATGAATCAATTTTTAGGCGCGTACAGATTGGTTTGTCTTCGTTGTTTTACGTGTTTTACCATGGATCGGTCTCGAGCTGTTTGAGAAGAAAAAGGAGGAGCTCGATAACATTCTTGAAGGCGTCGAAAAATATATGGAGGGCAGAAAGAAAATCCATGTCAAGGTGAGGTGACCCCGATTGATGAGACAAGTTTCAAATGCGCTAACTATACGCGCGAAGCGAGACTCTGGGCTTCCAATTTGGCGGCTGGAAAAGGGAGCAAAATGACACGGACTGTACGTGACGCTAATCTCAAAATGTTTAGGAATTCATAAATTTGGGGTTACAAAAACCTTCATATCAACTTCACCATTGATCTAGTTGTGTGCCCATCGTACTTATTCTTTTTGGGCTATAATTATATTGGAGCGAGAAGCTCAAGCTTTTGCTTACATTTGCGAATGCTATTACATGTATCGGATCAGTCATCACTTTGCATTTTTCAAATGGGAACTCCATACCTAATCATATCTAACAAAAACCCATGCATACTTTGATCCATGCAATCAGTGACAAACTCAACACTGAGATCTGAATATGGCTTTTCATCCTTTGTGAATCCTCATCAATGGTCACTCATAATTGCTACCAAGATAGTGGAATTACAGATGCTTCAAGTTTGGAGTTCAAGCACCCCGCACGAACAAGAAGATTACTTGGATTGCCTTTTGGCTCAAATCAAGTCTTTGAGGAGTAATGGTTGGAAGGAGAAACAGATAGCAAGACATTATGTCGCTTTCGACGCAGCCCTCCAAGATGCTTTGCAGCACAATCTACCCAGGTAAGAATGAGCTGCTTCTGTTTGTCTTGGGTATCTGTATTCCTTTTTTAGCTTTTCACCGCCTGTCCACATAGAAGGTGCCAGTTACCCATTACCCATGGTAGTTTTTCGCCTTTTCGATTACGCTGATTGTCCAGAGGATGTATGTAATGCAAAACATTTTAATCGCGCGTTAAGCTGTAATTATAGAAATGTTTTACAGGGTACCGTTCTGCCTGGCGCTCATTCCATCGAGCGGTTCCTTATTGAAGAGGAATTGAATCTGATTGTTGCTTTTAACGCTGCTGACAGAAGAATATGGTAATTTCTATGTAACTTTTTCATAGTTCACGCATGAATATTCTTTATTTGTTACGTTAATATCATTATTAATATGTTTATTGTGCTCATTTTTCTATCATGCTGCGCGCTCAAATCATACATCTGGACCCTTATATTCTTAGTGATCGCTTTAGAGCTTTGATGCTAAAGACATATATGCAAGATTGTTAGCGCTCCCATCTCTAGGCCTAGCAAAATCTAGCATAGGGACTTCAGTGCATGTCTATCCCAGAGTCGATCATTGTTACTGTTGATAGTTTGTGAAGCGTCATTGAAGGAAAGACATATTATTTTCTTTACTTCTTTAACTAAAAGTTGTTTCATACTGCAGTCGCTGCAGCAGTAGGAGTCTTATTGGGGGGGGGGGGGGTGCAAAGTTTGATATGGACTGCCGCTGCTGCAGCGACCGCATAAAACAACCCTAAGGAGATTCACAAAAACGGCTTGCTAGAAGAATTGGATCGAAATATGCGGGACCTATGAGTCCCAAATTGATATGAGCAGCACATCCTCCGAAAATATTGGATTATGTAGTCGCAGATCAAGTAAACCACTTTTTCCTTACGGTAGTTGCTGTATAGATTGACTTTCATCTGAACATGCAAGATCAACTGCATATGCTCGGAAAAAATATGCCTAGAGTCGTTCGTGGTGGTTTACTTTTGCATCAGTTTGATATGCTATCTTCTCAGTGCTGAAGAGCTTACAAACTATGCACGTGGAGCAAACGTTCCCATCGCGTACATGATACTCGAAGTCCTCTTCTCACAGCTGTTTCGTCTTCCGCATCCACCTCAACCTACTGGTTTTTATGGTGAGTAATGGCTTCAGAGAAAGGGTTTAATACAGTTTCTATTTTTTTGATTTTATTCTTCTCATCTAAACTCGTCTGAGCTTAATATGATATTTGCAGGGCCTCTACTTCTGGATCTCTGCAGGCTGCAGTCGTCTACCATGCCTCAGGTTCTAGCACAGGCATCAGAGCTGTTATATCAGCGTGCCGGTACAATGCAGCCATTGTGTCTCGATAGGTATTTTCTAGTGGATTAGTTGTGATCATTCTAATTTCTTTTCTCACGTCTTCTAGATTTGTGGATTGGTTCAGTTTCCATCTTTCCAATTTTGGTTTCCGTTGGTCATGGGATGATTGGAAAGATTGTCTCACTGTGAGAATTCGTTTTTATTTCCAGCAACGGTTTAAATAGCATTATCTTTCTTTCAGGCTGACCGGTGGGATGCAAAGAAGATCTTCGCTCGTGAAGTGATAGAGAGGTGTAGGCGTCTTTCCTACTATGGGCAACTCAAGGAGTTTCTCCCAAAGTCATTTGCACCAATGATTCCACCACCCCCTGATGTTATATGCAAGTTCGATGGCGGTAAATTTTTTGTTGTATTCTTGTAGCAATCGGCAAAAGTTGGTTTAAGAGGATCAACCTGGTCATGAAGCTGCCACAAAATTTACCAATATGATACTCGCTCGTGCCGACGATAATGCAGTAATGGCAGAAATGCGAGAGGCTGATGGACGTTATGATCCGGATATGTTCGGAGTTTTCTTTGCTGTGCGTATCTCCTATGGTGAATACTATGCCCTTGCAAAAAAAAAATTGTATTTCAGGTGCTGCTGAAAACAGCCGCTAAATCGTTTAGTCACACGTTTGTTGCCCTTTCAAGGCGAGTTCTTTCATTATTTTTTTGCTTGTTTTACGATTATGATGCAGGTTATTTCAGGTATAGTAATACGTTGAAAACTGTTGCTGATACTTCGGACGAGATGCAGGAAGTACTTTTGTGTTGTCTGTTTCAGTGTTGGAGAAATAATCATCTGGTAGATACTTTGATTCTCAAATTATCGTTTTCTACTGACTTTGTTTTAGAGGATTATCATCCTGGTCGACAAAATGCTCAAAATGCAGATTTTGGACTGTGGCGTCGTAATTTCCTGGATTTTCAGTGAGAGTCTTAGAAGCGAAACAGATAGGTAAGAAGTGTCATTTTTCTACAATTTTGTTTCTTTATCCTTGCACTCTTCGTATTCTCTTTACAACATGGTTGCCTTCCATACTCCAGTTACTAACAGCGGAATTGCGCACCAGCGATTGGTAGTATCACATCATACTTTCATTGTGAGAGTTTTTCGTTAAAGTGACCCACGATCAATCCAAGAGAACATTTTATTCGAAATCAATGCATTTTTGCTTTCGCGGTTTCAAGCAATGGTTGCTCAATGTTGATCATAAGTTTTGTAATAAAATGAGACAACTTCAAGCCAAAATTAACAACCTTGCAAATGTGTATCACATCTTGGTCATTTCTGTTTTTAAAATCTTCTTCATCCTTAGTACTAAAGTTCAACTTTACAAACACTAGTCGACTACCTGACTTGTACTTCCTTCCTCGACTTGTGTAGTATCTATCCTAAGTAATCGTAGCCTATTTGTACATTGTGAAAAATGTCATGTGTGAAATCGAGTTTTGTTAAGCATTGCTGGCGCTGATTGCATGCTTAGGGCGAAGAGTAGCCTTTCTAGGATTCTGAGCTTGTGTTACCATGCCTAGTGTGTTCAGACAGTGGATATGGGAGGTACTCAACACAGCTTTGGAGCGATTGTCACGTCACATACACAAAGTTGCGCATGACGTGAAGATCTTGCAGAAGAGGGTTGACCGGCAAAAAGCTGAAAACGAAGAGGTGATTTTCCAGAGTACATTTCAATGCCTACCCAGGGTAAAGCGGGGGGTGCGGCACGCCGCAGAGGGGGGGTCGTATTGAGGAGTCAAAAGGGGAGGGGGTCGTAGTTAGGTGATCTGATTATAGCGATAACATGATATTCGTATCATATCCATAATTAGCACGTCAATTAACCCCTGTAGACAAAGTGTGAGCGAATTCTGAAGATTCAAGATACTAGGCTACCTAAGGGAAATGGTCAAATTCCAACATGGTTAACTTTGTTTTAAAGGTGAATTGGCTATCCGTTTTTGCACTCAAGACAAAGCACTACTCCTTCTTTGTCCACCTCAGGAATCCCGCTTCAGAAGACCTCCAAACTGTGGAATTAGAAGCCAACCAAAATCTCATTTTTCCCATTTTTCGCTTTTGATGGCTGTGCTTTCACCAAATATTACTCAGAGCTAAGAAGACAAATCAGGCTCAAAACATCCCTATGGAATCTACGAGGTTTAGGCTATCGATTCATATAAATATTGTCCGCTAAAAATGTTTTTTTGATATAGTTAATGGCCTGCGGCACCCCCCCTCAAAACCTGCGGCTGCCGCAGGGGTGCCGCAGGGGTGCCGCAGGCCATTAACTATATCAAAAAAACATTTTTAGCGGACAATATTTATATGAATCGATAGCCTAAACCTCGTAGATTCCATAGGGATGTTTTGAGCCTGATTCGTCTTCTTAGCTCTGAGTAATATTTGGTGAAAGCACAGCCATCAAAAGCGAAAAATGGGAAAAATGAGATTTTGGTTGGCTTCTAATTCCACAGTTTGGAGGTCTTCTGAAGCGGGATTCCTGATGTGGACAAAGAAGGAGTAGTGCTTTGTCTTGAGTGCAGAAACGGATAGCTAATTCACCTTTAAAACAAAGTTAACCATGTTGGAATTTGACCATTTCACTTAGGTAGCCTAGTATCTTGAATCTTCAGAATTCGCTCACACTTTGTCTACAGGGGGTATTTGACATGCTAATTATGGATATGTTGTCCATTATGTTTGACAGAGCCTTCAGGTAATACTATCTTAAGTGTATAGTTTAGGAGGGGGGTCTTATTAAGACAGCAATCAGGGGGGGGTCGTATCCGACGGTCGAGTGCCGCACCCCCCGCTTTACCCTGTGCCTACCTTTATTTTCCATAGGTGGAGGACACTGACATGAAAACTCGCGAGCAGGAAGAGTTGGAACAGCAGCAGGAAAAGCTCGAGAACCTCAAAGACTTCCAAAAGTCTCTATTTCTGGATGTGCTCCATGTAAGTGAATGGAAAAATATTATAAATAGGTTTAGTTCTGCCGCTTTTGCAGAAGTTCACCGTTTTGCTGACGGAATTCATTGTTCACTGCGAGACGGAAGGGACAGATTTCCGTACACCTTACTTTGCATGGATCAATGGACGATTTAAACAAATTTTTCTGATGGTTAGTGGATGTTTCTCTGTCGCGAACATCATCAGCGACAGCCTATCAATTCAGCTTTGTGATGTCTAACATCTCGGTTTTTTTCAACCATTATCCACTTCTTCCGCCGAGAATTCGCGAAATTCTTGTGAAGAGTTGTAATCATTTTCGTTTCCATCAAAATCAATTTAGATGTAGGAAGTATTTTCTTTGGACATGGCTGCCTTCACATCCTTCTTCTTTCCGTTGAGTTTGGAGGTCTAAAATGGGAAGTATTCCTAATATCTCTTTAAGTGGCTTGGAAAGCACCACATATCTTCATTTGTTGAGATTTCAGCCTCACCCTTCATGGCCAAATAAAATTCTCGAGCCGCCTCTATCACTCGATCAGTAGTGGCGGACCGAGGAGGGGAGAGGGAGAGGGGGGCCTTCTCGCGAGTTGTTGCAAAAAATATGAGAGTTGCCTACAGTTATAAAATTACGCAAATTGCTTTTGAATTGTAAATAATTGAAAAATAAGTTTCTCGAATTTTTGCAATTTTAAATTGAAAATTTATAAAGCCTTGTGGAGTTTTTTGCATGGTAGGTCGTTCAGAATCTGAGAAGACATCCCAAAATGTTTTGCAAAGGTGTGCTGTAGCCGCGCCTCTTCATTCAGAAAAAATTTTCTTGGCACCTCCCCGAGAAAAAAATTTCATAGAAAGCCACTTTGACTGAGTACGTTTTGATTGTCATTGCTCTGGATGTGTGTCATCGCATTCTAAATCGCAACTCTCTCATTTTTGCTTTCTTATGTAAACATATTTGCAGCATGGATCCGATCTGCATGAATTCACTGATGATCTCCGACGTGAACTGTTCTCTAGCTCTGACATTGATCCCAACGTGTTGGAAACTTTCCAGCAGTTTGTAGCACTTCGCGAATAAGAAAAATTGTTGGACATTGCTTAGCTCTTTGGAATTGTTCTGAGAAAGCTCCTCTTGTCAATTTGTTTGCTTCTGTTAAGTTATGTGTTCTTAAATCGGGTGTACTGAGTTGATGTGCGTTGTTCAAACCAGACTGGCATATTTTGTATCATTTACCCTTCAGTAAAATCATTTTTTTTTTGCAGAAAACACTTAACACATATTACGGAGCCGACAAATGTTCTTCCACATTCTAGGTGGATAAATACGAGCCTGTGAAGCATTATCGCGACTATCATGCCATCTTTGACTACGTTCACACATCTAACTTGGTGTCTTCCAGTTGGTCCCTCTATTTAGTAGTGCCAAAGCATACTCATTGTCTTTTGAGAGCACCTACTGGCGGCAAATTGTCTTTTGAGAGCACCTACTGGCGGCAATTTTCTTTCGCATTCTTGTTGAACAAAGCTTCTTAGCATTTCAGCAAATTGTTTTCTTTCCGGCAGCAAGGATGATTTTTGGTCAGTCGAGCTCGACTTGTTCAGACTTCAATAGCAAACTTGATTTTGAGGTTCCACTATATTTTCGTCATAATGAGCATAAGCAGGGTCTCACATTGCAGTGAAGATCTGAAGGGGAACATTGGAGACCAGCAGTGCACATAAAAGTTTATCGGTCACAAATCGAAACTTGCACTGGCTCACATGCATAAAATTAGGGCTTTTGGACTGACGACTTTTTATCTTATATATAAAGCTGAATGTCTGTTTGTATGTATGTATGTATGTCTGTCTGTCTGTCTGTCTGTCTGTGTGTACGTATGTTCCGAATAGAAAATTCCATTTCTGAACCGATCCGGACCAAACTTGGCACACATACACTTCGGGCCCCGGCGGGTGTCATAGGCTACTTTTCGTCATCGATCAATATCGATTTTATCGATTTTTTGCAAAATTTGAGCTACGGGGCTGGGAGTTGGCACAGGGGGGTAAGTGAGCATGGGGATTCCGAATACAATATTAGTTTTTAAAATCGTGCATTACTTTTATCGATTTCATCGATTTTTTTGCAAAGTTTGAGCTACGGGGCTGGGATTTGGCACAGGGGGTAATCGAGCATGCTGATCACCCCCGTGGGGGTGATCAGCATGCTTGATTACACCCCTCTGCCAAATTCCAGCCCCCTAGCTCAAATTTTGCGAAAAATCGATAAAATCGACATCAATCGATAACGAAAAGTGGACTGTGACACCCGCCGGGGCCGGAAGTGTATGTGTGCCAAGTTTGGTTCGGATCGGTTAAGAAATGGAATTTTCTTTTCGGAACATACGGCGGAGCCGGGTAAGCCAGCTAGTGTTTGATAAACTTGGTTGGGTATCTTCTTCAAGTTTACTTGGTGTAAATGATGTAGTGACAGACTTTTTTGCGAGCTGAAGGGGGGGGGGGAGTTAGTAAGAACTATGAAGAGTTTAATGCTTTCTCTTTTGGAATTACCTGTCTCGCTTGCACATCTCCACGTCAGAGAAAACGGACTGTTATAAACTATAAAAGAGAAAGTGGGTACCGCTCTGTTGTCGATCTTTTATGGATATATCTGGGAGACTGTAGATTGTCAAAATCTAGCAACAAATGCAGTCGTGTAGGCTACTGGCATTGGAGACTAATTTTCCCTTCAAGCATTCCAGCCCTTAGGTGGCTGCTATTTCATTATTTGCATCTCTCACTTGTCATGAGCGCAGTGGTTAGAGTACAATATTGAATGCCTACTCATTATAAAGTATGCTGTACTCTTCAGCAAGGAAATTCATTTTGCGGCACGATTTCGGCAGAAATGTAAAGCAGGTAAAATTCAGAAAAAAGGACTCTAAACTGTCGATGCGGTGACTTGTTGATCAGATAGAATGGTATCGCAGATTTTGGTGGCACTTAATGAATGAAAAAACTAATATGAAACAAGGAAGAGTGGATATCATTTCTTGGTTACTCGTTTTGAATGCTTTGAACAAATAAAATGCTGCTAAATATCATTCATTCTCTAACCAAGAATACTGAGCTTATCAAGAATACCGCTTTGAGTATCGTCGATTCGTTGACCGCACGGACTGCTCAAACGCTGCGGTCCACGCGCGGCGCGGTTGAAATGTTGCGTGAGCATGACTTGTAAAGGCTATTGCATGACGAAGGCGCAATAGCAATTTCAGTTAAGCGGACGCGAACGCGGCGCGCGCGTATCCTCGCCGTTGTAGATCCTGCTCCTCCTACGCTCTGCGGCTAATAAAGCCGCGTTCGCGCCCAAAGATATTGCGCCTTCGTCATGCAGCAGCCTATACAATGACGAATTTGTATTCGAGCAAGCGTCTTACCTCGCGGCGCGTACTCTGCGGTGACTTCCAGTCCGTGCACTCAACAAATCGACTATACATACGTCTGATTAAGTCTACGGATGTGTTCTGACGCGTTTTGGAAAAAACTGTTAGAACTCCTGAAACATGTCCAAACTTGCGTTGTTCAACGAGGAACATTTTATTTCACAAACTCCCAATAGTAAATCAAAACGCACTCATGAACTTGTTAATCAGAGTATGCAAAGCATGCTTGTGTCTAACAAGGGAACGATTCCAACTTACATATGATGACAAACTGGAATGGCCGCCAGGTTATGAGCGGCTAAATATGCGAAGTCACTGGGGTTTCAGTGTATGATGTGCTTTGAAATCCAGCTTGGGATTGCATGACTAGCATGATATTAGGTTTAGTGATTTCAAGAAAACGTTCAAATTGAAGGTAAACACAAACAAGTGTGTCTAATCAATAATTCTTGAGTAATGGCTTTGTATGTTTGCCAATTTAGACTTTTCATTGTTCATAGCTCCTTCCAAAGGTCAAAAATACTTATTTGTCTTTACTTCAAATGTGAGCATTCCTTGAAGTCAGTTCAGTATCATGCTAGTCGTGCGCTCCAAAGTTGGATTTTGAAGCACATTATGCCGTTAAACCCAATGACTTCATATTTTAACCGCTCATAACTTTTTCCAGAGAACGGCATTGCAGGTACGGAAGATAGATTTGGAATAAGCTCATAAAGATGTATCTAATGATATGCGGTTCATTCCAGTTCGCCACATTTGTTGGGATTGTTCTTTTGTAAGAGAGGATACCTGGTGATCATGGCCTTTTGGAATGAAACCTACATCATTAAATGCATCTTGGAGCGCTGACCGCACTGCAAAAGAACATTCAAATGAAAAGTTTACCTTAAACTCAGGAGAGTCTTCGATATGTCAGAAAGAGCCTGGATACTGACTATTCTGGCTGCCTAAGTCTCGTGAAGTTAGTATGGAAAAAAGTCCATAACTTCTTTAGAGAGTCGCACAACAGATAACGAGCACAGATTTGGAACAACGTTTCAGGCGCATCTACTGGTGTACACCTACTGTAAAAGGCCACGGTCACCAAAGTCATCTTTCCCTTCTTAGTCAAAGAATGGATGATATGTGCATGCTGTTAGATATGAGGATTAAGTTTTCTGCGTACTGAAGTGCTGGATTAACAAAAACTATCGATGAATTAGACATCAAAGTTTATCCATTTCTTTCTAATAGAATTCAGAGGGGATAATTATGAAAAAACATTTTCTCGTGAAATATTTGCCAAATTGTTTAGCTTATATTAACACTAGTACTTAAGCCCATGTTCACTGTCCCCTAACCATAGCTATCATACACATTTGGCTTACTCATCTGCTCACATCGAGATACTCATCTTCTATCGTGAACAAAAGTTAGTTCAGAATTTATCAAATCATTGACATCAATGTTCAAGAAATAATATCATCAGACTTGTGAAACTCTTCAAATGTGCACTCTCTTCTGGGTCATCGCGGCCACATATATTTAGCAAATAAAATTGTCGACGGATGGTCACGTGTTCGGTTGATTTCTGTAACTTATGGTTATTGTGGCTATTAATCATTCTTTGATTTGTTTATTTTTTAGGTTTGGTGCGTTGCTGATCCCAATATTCCCGAAAAAGCACTGCAAAGTATTCTTCTCCAAACAGCAACGTATACAAATGACTAAATCACTTGTCTTCAGTTAGGTCGACAGAAACTTCAGTTAGGTCGATAGAAAAGAACATTGTGGAATCTGGATTTCTTTTTAGTCAGGGCTAGCATAAACATAGTCCTCCTTGTAGAATATTGGATCTTCTAGTTTGGGTTCGATATGTGCGAATGCACATATTATCCTAATTTCACTAGTACAAAACGCGCTTGTTTTTTAACTCGACCATCCTGAACACACTGAAAAAAAATTTCGTCGCCGAAAGATTCTCTACCGTGATGGTTTTTATCTAGAAGAATTGTGTGAGGAAGCTATCGTCGACTCTAAAAATCGTGACGACGGTCTGCAGTGCGGCCAGTGCGCGCCGCACGGCACTGCCCCTTTATCGTAGGGCAATCTTGCTTCTCTGCAGTGTAGGCTCCCTGCGGTAGCCATGGAAGTTCCTGCAAGCAAAAAAGATGCAAAAAGAAAAAGAAAGACCACAAGAAATCACCTTCTCCACGTAATTTGGGCGAATCACTAGGTGGCAGTGCCGTGCGGCGCGCACTGGCCGCACTGCAGACCGTCGTCACGATTTTTAGAGTCGACGATACTACTTCTGGATGCACAGCGGTGCGGCCAAGCTACTTGCTTGAAAAAATGAGAAAGGTCCGCCCTTTCCTCTCGAGACTACAAAATTGTACAGTGTGTATTGTAAGTTCCGTACGTACTCTGACTTGTCGCTTGGCTAGCTGATTTATAATAGCGCAATCGATTAGAACAAAGGAACAGATCGAAGTCCTTCTGTTTGTTGTAGATGTTATTGGTCTCGCAACTATCGTGCTCATTATTTTATTTATTTATTTATTTATTCAATACGCACAAGGCGTGCCGTATTTGAAACAAAAAACGAATACTTAGAGCTTGAACAGTAAAGAAAATAACAAAACATCCCAAAAGCTCGAGTCCAGCTCCGTGAATGGAGAGGGGTTAAGCCTGTGGACCGTGTAGGA